TCCGGATCCTACCCCGGCCGCCCCCCGAGTTACCCGGATCGTCCGAGGAGGAAATGGGGACTACAGGATCGATGTGCCCCGGCATGGAGGTCTTCGTCGAATCTGAAGCACAGCCACATTCTCGAATATCTGAGGGCATTCTAAATTTGCTGGTATACCCTACGAAAAAGAATAACGATTTGGAGGAATCTCTGAGGGCATTTTGAATTTGCTTGTATATCCCCACGAACAAAAAACCATGTGGGGTAAAGCAATATGTAGTCGATCTCCTACTCGTTGATTGGCGAGGGCCAGGTTGTTAGGATCTTGTTGCTGACCCGAAGGCGCTGCCCTCCAGACTGGAGATCGGGGATGGACAGAATCCACTCTGGCAGAACGTGGTTCAGTGAGAACGACCTCGGGCCCAAACCTGGCGGGCGCAGGCCTGGAAAATGACGGCCGCGGCGCCCCCTCGAGAACCGAACACGGACAATTCACTAATCGACGTGTCACTGTTGGGGGCTCTGTCCAGCCCCGACCAATCCCCGCACGACCCCTTTTGTCCGCCAAAGTCTCGGGCGCTCGAACGGTCCGGGATGACTTGTGGTCTGGGGCAGCTCCGGTCTGGGCCCCCGAGGCGCGAACCCGTAGATACCCCCGACCGCCCCAAGCCCTCATGATAGGGATAAGCTGCGGTCCAGGGTAGCCGAAAACGGACAATTCACCAATCGACGTGTCAGAGTGGGGGCTCTGTCCAGGGCCCAGGGCAGGCCGCGTGCCCTCCTCTGGGCTTCTCCGTGCCACATATGGGAGCCTGCGCGTGGGCCCCCTCCCCCCCGGCGCGGTCCGATCAAAGGGGCGTGTCTTTTTTGGACCCGGTGTGGACCCGGTGTGGACCCGGTGTGGGACCGGAGATGCGCCCCTTGGCACGGGAGGAGCGCGAGGAGAGAGGAGGATGGGGGGGAGAAGGGGGGGGGAGCATCCAGAACCATCCATGAAGCCACACTCGTGGAATATTAAAGCCAAACGAGTTAAAAGAGGATTAATCCGAGGAGGAGCTGGCACGCGCGCGCTCGCGCTGAGGAGAACGGGGAGGGGGGGAGGAGAAGTAGGGTGTGTCCCTCTGCGAGGAGAGAGAGGGAGGAGAAAGAGAGAGAGAGAGAGAGAGAGAGACAAGAAGAGCGAGGGCGGGGTGGGAGGAGGAACAGAAAGGCGAGGAGAGGAGAGGAGAAATATGCAAGGCTAAATGCGGTCCAAAAATGCTGGAAGAGCTGACTCTAAAGTCGACGCCCAAGGCTCCTGTGAACAGACATCGAAACCAAACCCCCAGGGATTTCTAGGAGTTCTCAAGAATCCTCAAGCATCAACAGGGATCCTGGGGAACCCATAAGAATCCATGCCCCCCAGTATCCTCAGGCCCCCCAGGACTCGGAGGAATCCCTGGGAATCCATACGACTCCCCCATTATCTTTAGGAATCTGAGAGGTTCGTAGGAACCTATGGAAACAGGACAAATCCCGGAGGAAGATAAAATCCACTAAGGATCAATCGAGAACCTCTGAGATCTGACGGCTCTGGAACTGTCTCGGGCGCCGCGGCCTTCTCAGAGCGTTCTGGGACGCTCTGAGAGCGTTCCGGAACGCTCTGGAACGTATTTATGTATCCTCGTTGTGGCCCCGCCCGACCATGGGTCGGCTACACGCAAGACGGACATTGGATAAGAAAAACCTTTGATGCGCAAACACCAGCGCGCAAGATGCTGTTACCGCACCGCGCTCGGCGATCGGGGGACCCCGGTGGGCCCGCGCCAAAGATCTCTCTGGCGAAGGGTCACTCTTACCATATCGGTCGCAAGAAATATGTAAAACAAACATTAGCCGGACGAAGGACCCAACCATATGCAGGTGTGAGCACCGCAATTGTGATTCATTTTTTCGGTGGTGATCCTTATGAGGCAACGAACCGTGCTAGGGGTGTGCCGAAATGAGTGTCGCGGTACACAACGCGAACGAAAACGATTGAGCTGAGTACGTGGGAAGAGTGGGCGCGGGTGAATCTGAGCGCGAGTGCGTCTGACTGTGAATGAATCTGCATGCGAGCGAGTCTACGTGCATGAATGCGAGTATGACGACGCATGGTGTAATTGTAAATGAATGTCAATAGCTTGAGAACGACTGCCTCTGGATACGCGTGACGCTGGGCGTGGCCGCCGCAAGGAGCTTCCCCGGGAATCCCCGACGGCATCGCCCGCGCGCCGCGACGCCAATGTCGGCGCGCCCCCCCGCGAGGATCGTGCCCGCTTCCTCCCCTTCTTTTACTCCCTGTGTGCCCGCGCACTCAAAAGTCCAAGGCTGCGGGCGCAGCGCAGCGCGGAGTCCCCGCGACGAGCGCAGGTCGCCCCGGAGGGGTCCCAGCGACGCGCGCGGGTCGTCCGCTGCGCGGAGCAAAGAGAGATAGCTGGCTGGCTGATAGTGGGCAAGGCTCTTGCCGCTGGGCAGAGCGACGACGGGCGAGCGAGGCGCGGAACTCCGACGGCCTCGGACGGAGGTGTACTGGGTGGCGGAGACGCATGCGGACTGCGCCACGGGGACCTTAGGTGGACCTCCACCTGGGGCCACGAAGCGCTGTACTGGGCGGGGGAACCGCATGCGGAGGACCCTCGGTGGAGCCCCATATGGGGCCACGAAACGTTCTACTGGGTGGGGGAGACGCATGCGGACTGCGCCGCGGGGACCTTCGGCGGAGTCCCATATGGGACCACGAAGCGCTGTACTGGATGGGGGAGACGCATGCGGACTGCGCCACAGGGACCTTCGGTGGGGCTCTAAATGGGGCCACGAAGCGCTGTACTGGGTGAGGGGGACGCATGCGGACTGCGCCACGGGGGCCTTCGGTGGGGCTCCATGTGGGGCCGCGAAACGCTGTACTGGGTGAGGAAACGCATGCGGACTGCGCCACGGGGGTTTTCGGCGGAACCCCTGTGGGGCCGCGAATCGCTGTACTGGGCGGGGGAACCGCATGCGGACTGCGCCACGGGGACCCTCGGCGGAGCCCCTATGGGGCCACGAAGCGCTGTACTGGGCGGGGGAGGCGCATGCGGATTGCGCCACGGGGACCCTCGGTGGGGCTCCATGTGGGGCCACGAAGCGCTGTACTGGGTGGGGGAGACGCATGCGGACTGCGCCACGGGGACCTTCGGTGGGGTTCCCTATAGGGGGCACGACGCGCTGTACTGGGAAGGGGAGACGCATGCGGACTGCGCCACGGGGACCGTCGGCGGAGCCCCTAGGTACACACCACTGGGGCCTTAGGTGGACCTCCACCTGGGGCCACGAAACGGTGTACTGGGTGGGGGGGACGCATGTGGTACACACCACGGGGGACCTTAGGTGGACTTCCCTATGGGGCCACGAAGCGCTGTAGTGGGTGGGGGGGACGCATGTGGTACACACCACTGGGGCCTTAGGCGGACCTCCCTATGGGGCCACGAAGCGCTGTACTGGGTGGGGGGGCGCATGTGGTACACACACACACACACACACACACACACCACTGGGGCCTTAGGTGGACCTCCCTATGGGGCCACGAAGCGCTGTACTGGGTGGGGGAGACGCATGTGGTACACACCACTGGGGCCTTAGGTGGGCCTCACTATGGGGCCACGAAGCATGAGAGGAGGAGAGGAAGGAGGAGGAGGGAGGAGGAGGAGGAAGAGGAGGAGACGCGGGGACCGTCTCTTCAAAACGGGGACCCAACAACACAGGTCGGTTGGGAATGAAGTAGGAAGGCGTTGAACATAGATTGGGTGTCCGCCCGCCCCCCTGGGAGGACGGAAAAGGTGAAGTCTCTTGATCATTGCAGTAGGAAGGCGCTTAAAGTGGATTGGAATCTGGAAATCCAAAAATTCGCCGGCCCAACGGGCCAAAGGCGTGCTCAGATCTCCGGTAACTGCTAAACAATACTTCTAGTTCGCGCGCGCGGGGCGGCCCCTGGGGGTCCCCCGGCGAAAAGTACCCCGACCGCCGCCCGACCACTGCTACTCAGAGATGGTTTTCCTCCTGGGTGTGGCTTCTCAGGCCCCCCAGAGCGCGCCAAGAGTGCCCCAAGAGGCCCCCAAGACTGCCCAAAGGGCCCCCGAGACGCCTAAAGAGCGCTCCAAGACGCCGATGATGACCTCAAGACGGCCCAAGAGGCCTCCAAGTGGCCTCCAAGAGGCCTCACAAGAGGGCCCTGAGAGGCCCAAATCAGACATTTTACGATGGTTTTGAAAGAATTTGGGCCTTGTCCCCTTTTCGGCCATCCGATGCTCCAAGACGGCCCAGGAGGCCCCCAAGAGCACCCCAAGACGGGCCAAGAGGCTTCCACGAGGGCCCCAAGAGGGCCCAAGAGGGCCCCGAGACGACCCAAGAGGCGCCCAAGACGGCCCAAGACGGCCCCAAGACGGCCCCAAGAGGGGCCCAAGAGGGGGACCACGAACCAAAACCTCGAGCCTTCCGCCCCAAGAGGGCCCCAGGAGGCCCCGAGAGGCCCCAAAGAGGCCCCAAGATGCCGCCAAGAGGCCCCCAAGAGGTCCCAGGAGGCCCCCAGGAGGCCCCCCAGAAGACTTCAAAAATGCCTCCCAGGCGCCCTCGAACGGCTTCTGAAAAGACCCCAAGAGGCCTCCCAGAGAAGCATCTTGACGACGACCCTGTTTGGCCCCAAGAGCAACACAAGATGCCAACGAGAGGCTTCCTCCTCCGCCCCTTCCTCTTCCTCCTCCTCCTCCTACTTATCTTCATCCTCCTCATCTCCTTCTCATCCTCTCCTCCTCCTCCCCTCCCCTTCCCCATCCTCATCTTCTTCCTCCTCGGCGGCGCCACAATGGCCCCGGGCCCACGGCGAAGCAGTAGCGATCATGCAACATGGGCCGGCGGAATGAGCGAAGCGATTGAATAACTACTTTCAACGACCGATGGGTACGTATAGCCGTCCTGGCCCAGCCCGGCCATGAGACCCCCCCCGCGAAAGCAGAGCCAGCCTGCCTCCGAGGTCGCCGTAGAGCCGCGGGGGCGCCAGCGGTGCCGGGCCCGCCCTGTACTTGACCTCTGCCCCGTCGGCCGCTCGGCGGGGGCATCGCGGCCGCGGCGCCGTCCCCACCGCCGCTGCTACGTCCATCCCTCATGCGAACTGCCCCTCTTTCCTCCCAAAGGGAAGGAGGAGGAAGAAGAGGAGAAGAATACTTACTCCTCCTCCTCCTCCACCACCACCTCCATCTCCTCTTCCTCCTCTTCCCCCCTCTCTCCCTCCCTCCCTCTCTCTCTCTCTCTCCCTACCTCCCTCCCTCCCTCCCTCCTAATCCACCCTCTCTGCTCTTCCTACCTCCTCCACTCTCTCCTCCCTCCTCCTCCCTCCCTCCTTTTCCCTCTTCCTCCTCCACAGGCTCGCGAGCAGACGCGATACCCTGCAAACGAAGAGCTTCCTTCCTCCTCCCACCTCCCCCCTTGCAGCTCGACTTTTCCTGCACAGTCCTATCTTTGAGTGGCGGACGCCTGTGGGGGGATTGGCCCAATACGACGCATCTCGTTGGCGCAAGCCCGCTGCAGCCCCTTAACAAAATCCTACCTCTTCCCTCCCCCACCAGCGCGTGCTCCTGCGACACGCTACCCTGTAGACGGGGAGCCTCGTTCCTCCTCCCTCCTCCCCCTCCTCCTCCTCCTCCTCCTCCTCCTCCTCCTCCTCCTCCTCCTCCTCCTCCTCCTTTTCCTCCCCCTCCCCCCTTGGAACGGACGCCGCAGCGCAAAGCTCCATGAATCCCATGTGATTGTCACTGGGGTCGCCCGAGGGCGCTGGGCCACGAGCGAGAGTCGCCGAGTCGCCACACGATCGCCAGGACATCCAGCGAATGGCTCCGCTGCGCCAGGCGAGCGCAACGACCAGAACATGCGCTGCGGGGCAGTGCCCGAGGGTGAAGACAGCTGCGGGCACGACGAGCACTGAAGAGGAAGCGCGGCAAGGCACTCCAGGGTTGCCCGCGCACCCAGCCGTCACTGGCCAGCGCGGTATCAGCGATCCTTCGATGACCAGCAGGAGAAAGGCAAGGCCTCAGGCGAGAGGCAGGTTCAAGTACCGCATCACGCGAACGAACAGCAGCGTAAGGAAACTATGAAATCACATCTGGGTGAATATGAGCTCGGTGCACATCACGGCCAGGAGGTCGGCGATGAAATAGGAGAGCAGTCATCCAGCAAGCTGGGCACGAACAGCATCATCACGTTGCCGAGTAGTAACAGACACTGGGCGGTCGAGGCACTACACAAACTTGCCCGATCGGGGTGATGCTTGCAAGTTTGAAGAAGCTACCGTCGGGGCGTTGACCTAAGGAACCCTGCATAATGAGCGAGGCCCCTTTTTCCAATCAGTTAAACTTCGATGTCCCATGGAAAACCTCAGGCAAACCCAAGGCAAACTGTACAGCGATCAAGGAGCACCGAGCCCCTCACCAACGAAAAGGGCTCCTTCTTCAACGCCTCGACTGTACGCCAGTCCATTCTGAGACTGGTTCGAAGAGCACCCATGACATGGAGAGAGGAGAACCAGCAAGACGATGAGACACACACGATGAGTGGGAGGCTGGAGGAAGAAGAGATGATGAAGCGGAGGAGGAAAGGTAACTGCAACCTACCTGCTCCCCGTATTGCCGACCGTGGAGCCGATCTCGCCGTGCATGAAGTTCGTGTACCTCGTGGCGCAGTTCGCATGCCATGGAACTCCCTTCCTTGCGGGGGCAGCCCCCGACTGCTGCCAGAATGGTGTCCCCGCCTGATCGTCTACGAACCTGTCTTCTTCACTATAGAGGCCTACGTTTCTGAGAGACGCCCTGCACCAACATCTGCACACGCATGCACACAATCAAGAAAAGCGAACGCGAAACTGTATACGCTTCGCGCAGTGCTGATCGCTTGGAAGAACTATGGGCAAAAACACCGCGCACTCGTCCACATCCCCCCTAGGTCACCGAGTAAAGAGCTCAAAACACAAGCCTCCAGGACAACACGATGGGCTTAACACCGTGGTGAATTTGTGACACAATCCACGTCCCAGGCATTCCCAGTCGGCGCATCGCACGTGATTTCCCGGGGGGGGGCTACGTGTGGCACAGGAAATGCGGGCGATGCAGTGGATGGGGATAGGCTCTGGAAGCGGAGGCTTAGCGGCTCAGGAGGAAAAAGCGGAATGAAAAGGATGCACATCAGTGACGATCGGCTCCACGACGTCCGAATACCTGAGTTTTCTGCTGGCCACACGTGCCGAGTCCCTACTTGAGAAGTGAGGCTAGCCGCCAGTGCCCCCGACACGCGGACTAAATGAGTAAGTAGCAGGGTGGGCCACTGGAGATCCGAAGCATGACCGTAGCAACGGAGAGCCGCCAACGCTGAACCGTGTAACCACCGAAGCGAAAAACGGAACCCCAGACAACGCTTCCAAGTCAAAAGTGCTCTCTGGAGACGCAGGCCGTCGCTCCATGACCAGCCGACACCGGCGCCGTCGCTGCCGCCGCCACCGGCTGTCTCCGTCGCCGCCGACGCCGCGGTCGCCGTCGTTGCGGCTGTCCTCGTCGCCGCCGCCGTTGATGCGGGCGCCATCGCCGTCGCCACCGTCGTCGCAGTCGCCCTCGTCGCCACCAAGAAACAAAAATTCAACTCAGATTCACGCGAGCCCCCTCGTTGACGGGAGGGTACGTTACGGAGACGTCCGCGAACGCATCGCCTTCGAGCGAGTCCGACACGTCCTCCTGCGGAGCTGCGTGCGCGTTCTGGCGGACTCCGCTGGTCCATGCGGACCCCTGCTGGGGCCAGGAGAGGGAGGAGGAGGAGGAGGAGGAGGAGGAGGAGGAGGAGGAGGAGGAGGAGGAGGAGGAGGAGGAAGAGCTGCTTCGGGTTTCGGGTAGCGCAGGGCGCGAAGCGCGGCCATCTTCGGGACCTCGCGCTTATACCCCTGGAGAGCCACAGCTCTCCGTCTCGGGCCGCGACGGGCGAAGCGCGATCCCACATCTTCGGCGCCCGTGCGGGCAGCCCAGTCCGTGGTTGGGATGGTGGTCTCCTCCTGCGCACAGATCGCCGAGGGGGCTGAGAACTCTTGCGGTTACTGTTGCGATCACTGGTGGTGACATCTGCGCATGTGGAAGACATGCCAGGGAAACAAACATGGAAACCAGCCAAGCGCATGCGTGGCGAATAGTGATGTTGTCAAGTGCCGCGTGGCATCCCCAGGCAACAGGAATTCACACGACGATGTTATCTAGACTTGCATCCGACTTGTTCGCCTCTATGGTGGATCCGTCGACTCATTATCCAGGGTCCTCCGCAAGCCAACGATCTCCAAAAAACACGAATCTGGACCCGAGGCCTCAAGACTGGAACTTGCTGAAGGTGGTAACATGTTGTGCAGTTCCGTTGAAGGGCACGGAATGGGCGGCCGATGTTGACGACGTCGATGGTCAGCCCGCGTCGGGGTGGGTGGAGGAGCTGTTGGAGGATGATAGGGGGAAAACAAACCTACCTCGCTTTTGACCACCCTCGCTTCCAAGAGATACCAAACGATGCCAAATTGCGGCCTGTACTGGTCAGGCCGCTTGACGGGGAGGCGCGTGGTATGGCTTGGTTTTGCCTGGAAGCGAAAGCGGGGTAGGTAATTCACGCTCTGAGATAAGGCGGACGTTGGCCCTTCACGAGGTGCCTCGCCCGTGCATCGGGGCACGCCGCTGGAGGATCGGATCGGCCTCGTGCGGATGGACTGGTCCTGTGGCAGCGGCGCCAGTAACGATAGAGCGGAGCGCATGGGCAGCCACACTCAGTCCATCTTCCAGGGGTTGGAATTCGAGTTGGCGCCGCTCTTCGGCCTCGAAGGTGACGCTGATCAATATTGCATCTTGGTCGCAAAAGACCGCCCGACTACAAGTGGTGCGCGGAAGGTGGTACATTGGCCAAGGAGTACACCCCATGCGCGAGTGAGTCGTCCGTCGCCATGTTCAGCAAGTAGTGCCAGACATTCATCATGGCAACCGCGGTAGCGGGACGAGAGCAGCAGGGATGGACAAGGAAAAGCGGCGGAAAGACAGAAGGACGGAAGGAGGTATGGGGGGACGGGGCAGATGGACGGGGAGGAGGCAGGGGGCGAGGTGGAGGGGGGGTTGGGGAGGGGACGAGGCCGAGGGGGGGGGGGGGGACGCGCTGAAAGAATGACGAGCGAGGGGCGGGAAGGGAGGCAGGCCAGGAGCCCTCCTCCTCGCGCTCCTGCGAGCCGCTCCTCGCCCGCCCCTCCTCGCCGCGGGCGTCCTGAGAGCAGGGGCCGCGCGTCGCTCCCGCCTGCCGGCGGGGGGTGGCTCCCTCCCTCGTGCTCTCCCTGCCCCGTCTGCTCGTCCTCGTCGTCGCGCCCTTCCCCCCCGCTCCTCGCCCGACGCTCCCACCTGCTCTCCCCCCCTCGCGGTATGATGATATCCTCTGCGTCACTTCCTGGCTTACTACTCTTACGAGCTCTGACGTACCAGCGCGCGCGCCCAATCTGTCACGCAGCCGCCCTGTAGCCGAACCTGCGACGTTGGCCCCGCCCGTCACTGCAGCTCACCACAAAGTCGACGTCCTCCCCGTTAGCATACAGCGACGCGTTGTCGTCGTCGTTGCGGTACGCGTGGCAGGAGTGGGGCGCGCAGCACATCGCGCACGAAAGGGTCAAATTTCGCTCTCGCCCGAGCTCCTTTCCCGCTCCCGCTCCGGCGCGACGCGCATTCTTCGCTTGCCGACTCGCGGAGGCCACGGGGCCGCAGCAACAGTGCGCGTGGCAAGTGGGAGCTTGCCGCCCAAGCGCCGCGCAGATGCAACCCGATGGTGGCGCCTTCCCGCTGGGGCACGGTGCACACGCCCCCCTCGCCCAGGCACTGGACGCAGAGCCGCGACCGACCGGGCGAGACGTCGCTCCCCGCGCAGGCGCCATGCAAGCTCACCTCGGAGTGGCGTTCCAGTGGGGGCGCGGTGCACACGTTCCGTCACATTCCCCATCGCCCAGTCATATGTCGCCTGAAACTGTCGCTTCCGCTTGCGCGCGGCGCTGTCTATGCCTGCGCCAGTGTGCTGGAAATGTTGATTTCGCCGTGCGCGGGAAGGCTGAATAATGCACAGGCCGAAAAACCGCACACTAATTTTCTTACCGTTCCGTTCCTGCCGATGCGCGGGCCACGATTTCCTCACCACGTGGTCGGGATCGGAGCCGTGCGCAAGCACATCAAGTGTGCTAGGTGGGCATGCGCATCCGTCCCAGTATCGGGCTCGGTCAGAACCGACTCGTGAGTTATGGGAGGGTGCCTTGGAATATAATGGGTCAGCTGGTTCCTTAAGCTGGCTAACTGGATTCACACCGTACTCCGATTATCCCTGATGTTTGCCTCCTCTTCATTATCCCCCCTCCTCCTCCGCGTCCTCCTTCTCGCGTTCCGGATGAAAATAACTAGTTCCGCACATTCATCCTACTGGTCCTCTGCCTCCATCGCCCTCCAGAGACACCTCACTTTTAAAGCTGAAGCTCCCTTCGCGGCGCACACGACCCTCCTGAGACACGCGTGCGAATTATGGTGCGCAAGTATGCCCCATTTCCCGGCCGACTTAAGCAACTAATCCCACACCTTCGACGACATCCAACCGAACTGGTGCACACTGTAGCCGAATGCGTAACGACTCCAACTAGATGCGTGCCAAGTCTGATCGGCGATGTTGGCCTCCAGGGAACATATACCCCTCGGTGGGGTACCCCTGCAGGCTGGAGGAAGAGGAGGAGGAGGAAAAAATGGACGAGGAGGAGGAGTCTACGTCCGCAGGGGGGGGAGGTCCCAGTGTCGTTAGAGAGCAACACGAGCATGGGCACTGCGCCGAGACATTGCCCGCGCTCTGGCCCTGATCAGACCTGCGGTATGATTCGCCCCGATACGGGTGGTATTAAACACAGCATGGAAGATGCCAATGCCCAGAGAAATACGTACAAAGAAAGACATATCCAGAGATTACCAAGCTCCGAGAATGAACATACTAGACGGGTCCCCAGAGCCTCAGGATTCAGGAAGGAGGGGGAGGGCGGCTGTCACGGCTGGCAAAAGACAAGGACATTGTGGGTAACAAATCATTATGTCACCCAAATCTTTACCACAACGCTGGCACGCCTTTGCAATAATAGAATACCGAACGGAACATGCCCAATGGTTCGCGACCGTTTTGAGGACCAGGGAGAGGAGACCTGGGGAACGAACCCCGTTAGCACGTTCAACCTCACCCCCGACAGAAAGGCCTCCTGATGGGAAACGTTGCCTCGAGAAGAGCATATCCCCGATCGCCGACGCACCTCAAGCCCGTCGGAACACTGAAGGAGTGTTGGCTTGCCGGGGTGGGCAGGCAGGAGAACGAGGGAGAGCGCGGAGGGACCTCAGCTCGGCCTTGACAACCATCAGGTACCGAAGAACAGATCCAGTGAAATATAGGTTCCATGTATGGGTCATTGGCGAATCGTCACGCTCTAAAATCTCATAACTATTTTCCCACCTACAGAAGCTAAACTACGAACTGTGACCCTATATACCGCAGCCTTACAGTAGAGACGAAGATTACGCACATCACGCTTGAACCCCACATTCGTAAGGTTTATCATCATGTCGTGGCTAATGGCGTTAAAGGGGACCGCGAGGAGTAACTGGACAGCCCCGCATTCGCGACGCAACGCAATTTTCGACGGCGGCACCAGCTGCGCAACATTGCCTAGAGTAGGGGAAGGCGACGAGGTTGTAGGCCACCACACTCACCCCGAAGCTCTGTCGCATGGCACCAACTTGTCAAGCTCTAGCGAGAGCCTGGCCCCCAAGGTCGGCCCGGAACTGACTACCTACCAGACCACACCAACCCAACCCGAAGACCCGAGTTTCGGGTTGGGGGGGGTATGGGCTCCATATGTGTTTTTTCGATGTTCCCGGACCCCCCCCCCACTGGAAATGAAGGGCAATTTGAGGCCTTCGGGTTGGGTTGGGGTGGTTTGGTGGGTGGTGAAGAACATCGCCGCCCCCTCCTCCCCGACAACAACCCCCAAATACCTCCCACACTCGGCAGGCTTGGACGCAGAGGCGTCGAGCCCGTGCTCGGAGGACCAGGCGAGGTGCCGGCCCAGCGTCCGCCGTGCCCACGGGCAGCCAGATCGCGTTTTTTGCCGGGGCGGATGCGCAGACCAGCTAGATCGCAAAGCCAGGAGGGGAGGGGGAGGACGATCGGGAGGGCGACGAAGATGTTCTGCGCGGTGAGGCCTAGGTCGTCAGCGAACCCATAGAAAGACGAGCACGGCGAACGAAGGATCCGACTAGAAAACATCGAATAAAGGGGTCCGTAGAAAATGCGCGCGGGAGGCCACTCAGAGGACAGCCTTGCTTCAGGCAGCGCCCCAGCACGACGTGGAACTCGTCGCGTCCTTTGATACTGCTAGAGACACGCGCAGCGTCGCGCAGTGTCTTAATAGCGCGCATGAAAAAAACTCTGGCGCCTGCATGTTTTGGAGGACTCGGAAGAGAAACGCGTCGAAACACGAAGGGGAAGCAGCCTTGGCGACGTATAGCACGCCACCCGTGTGAGTGCGTCCTTCGACGTCTCTCCAAATCCTGAATTCAGAATCTAACGAAATTGCGCGATCGACGATCTGGCGCCCAGGGAGACAACCCGCCTGCGAGCCTCGGGCGCGACGTGCCTGAAGGGAAAGGAGAAGGCGCTAGCCAAGAGCTTGTTATCCGAGCGCGGGAGGGTGAGAGGGCGATCTCACCCTTCGGCAAAGATGCGGGAAAAGAGCACTGGAACATGGAAAATAACGCGCCGTGCCTGAGTCCCAGACGGCACAGTTGGTATCGGGCATGGATAGCCATGCCTCCACCAGCCTTCCAGACCGAGTAGGGGATGCCATCGACCCCAGGGCTGCTGTATTTTTTCATGACAACCACTTGCTCGAACTGCTCGCATCTGTGGGCCCGCTGGGTTCCCGACGGTATGGGCTGGACAAGCGGGCCGAGGAAGTGGGCATCGGTTTCCAAGGATGGCTGGAATTATGATGCCTCACCCCAGTAAACTGAAAGCTCCCTGGCGCAGTCTGATGGCTCCCCGACCGTCTTTCCAGAGTCGCCAATCATCCCTCGGAAGTAGATGCGCCTTTGACTTGGCCGCCGCGCCGCCGCGAGCTCGAGCGCGCGCTGGACGCGATTGGCTTTCTGGGAGGCGGAGAGGCCAGAGCCACTCGGCAATGTCTGTTCATCACCGCCGTGAACTTCCCTCATGAGGTTCGAGAGGATGGAATGCAAGCCAACCACATCTGTCCACTCAAACACATGGGGTCGCAAAAACCACGCAGCGCCGGCCGCGCGCGAAGGGATCGGGCAGCAGCGCCGCAACGCTCGCCGCGGCAAGCGCGGAGGGGGCCGAGCATCCATGCAATCTTCTGCAAGGCGGTGTCTGGGCGGCGAGGCTCCAATGCCTGTTCTACTCGCGTAACAATATGATCGATAATCTCCTCCACCTCTCCCGCCCTCGACGCAGGCCCCTCGGATAGAGACGCCTCTTCCAGCCGCGAGCGCGGAGCAATGCCAAACTCGGGGTGGCATGGCGCCCATCGCGGGACACTGGGGCGCGAGGGCCTGGTGGCACAGGTGTGGGAGACGAAGACGCAAGCATGGTCGCTGGGCCCGCGAGGGGGCCGAGGTCGAGGACGTCGGAGGCGGGGGTGGACATGTAAATGCGATCGAGCCGACCAATAGAAACCACTTCCTGGTGATGAACGGATTCGCGGGCGTACGCAGGCTGGTGAAGCTCCAACACGCCCGTAAAAAAAAAACTCGCCATGGTATATGCCGAGAGAGTCGGGGTCCATGTCCTAGAGGCCTTCAGAGAGACGTAATCTTCCTTCCCCAGTCGCGGAAGAGCTAACAAAGTCGCCCCCGAGGCGAGTGGCGCCAAGTGGGATGCATCGAAGCCGGCGCTGGACAGCTCGCAGCACCCCTCGGATTTGGTGAAAAGACTAACTCGGAACAACTAACAACGTGCAGATTCACGCCGTCCGCGTTCCCGCCCCCCCCCCCCCCCCCTCCCGTTTATTCTCAAGATCCCAATCCCTCCGAGAATAACTTGAGCTAGCCTGGGCGCGCTGAGTCGCACTGCAAGCCTCTCATGAACCTTTATGTAAAAGCCTCCAGCATTGGCTGTCCCGAGGAAAGAACACACGATTTTCCAGGAATGGTGCTGCTTTCGCAACTCATTCGAATCCTCAGACTCGCCGTGCGCTTCTTGCAGGACGATGGTATGGTACACCCGAGGCGCGGCCATCAGCGTCGCCCAAGTAGCTGCTCACAACTCTGGGCTGGCCCAAATGGAATCGAAAAGAGCATGCGCATTCCACGATCCGGCCTTCAAACTGCGCGAATCGGGTAGGAGGGGAACATCCGCGCAGGGGGGGACAGGAGGGGCAGACGTTCTGGGGGCCCGTCGCGAAAGGAAGAGGAGGGCTAAGAGGACGAGCAGGAAGACAGAGCAGCAGAAAATTGAACGGCCAAGCCCCTACTGCCAGCTCGCAGAGACGGCCTGGTAGCCCCAGTAGAAGGAGCACGTCGACCAGCATCCGCGCCCCCAGCTGGCTGCCGAGGATAACCGCCCTGAGCGTGGAAGCGCTTTCGCACGGGAATTTGCCGCAGGAGCTCCGTCACACGGCCGACCAGCTGCGTGACTTCCGTGTCTGGGGTGTTCCACCAGACGAGCGATGAGTACACGGTCTCGAAGGTGAACCCAGCGGTTCCGCTCCCCTTGGCCCACTAGAGCTCGAAAGTGTCCTCCTGAGACGTCAAGTGGACGAAGCCGACACCATTGATCCCGAGGCGGTAGCTCGAGATCTGGCAGCCGGAGGTACTTCTGGACCAGTGAAAGTACCTCCTCCCAGACTCGACTGGCCGCCCTCGGCTTAGCTCTCACGTCATGTGGAAGGTCTTGGCGGATGCGAAGATAGAACATCGAGGACGTCCTGTGATCCTGCCAACTCACCTGCTTGTCACTCACGAACTCGGAGAAACCACGAGCAGCGGCCGCACTACTGAAGACAATGGTGTAACTCTTAGAGACACCCTTCAGCTGCGGCTGCACATCTCGTCGAAGGTGTTCGGGGACCATCGGGTACAGGACCAGCTCCCAGTGGGCTGCCTTCTGCGCGCTAGTGATGCATCTCGGGAACGGTCCTACCCACCCCTTGGTCTCGTTGACGGGCACGGCACCTGGAGATGGGCCCGCGGAGGAAGAACCAGAACTCGCAGAGCTCGCCCCCGAGCCACAAGCACCTTTCCCGATATGCTCGGTATCCTTGGCGAGGTTCTCGGCTTCCTTATCAAGCTGTGTTGCCCTGCGAAAGCGGCCCAGGGATCCTGACGCGGAGCACCATCATCATCTGTAGCAGAGCGAGCAGCACCGTCGCAAGGCATCGTCTGAATCGGCTCAAGTTTGGTCTCGATTGCGGCCATCCTCGCACCACCCATCGCCTTATACTTAGCAAACTCGTGCATGCTGTTGGACTGGGACGACTGGATCTGGGCGGCCATCTGAGCGCCAAGCGAGGACGAGAAAGTGGACAGCGTCTCAGTGAGCACAGATGTGAAGGCTGGAATGGCATGCTGGGCGATGCGCGCGTAGTTCAGCTTCGTGTAGTCGACAGAAGAAGTGGATCCATCCTGAGAGTCATCCTTCTCCTCATCCTCGGCGTCGAGCGGCTGCGGTCACCACTAGTCGAGGATATCCCACGCACACTGGAGCTTTCAGGCTTTCTCCTCGGCTCCGACGGTGGCCCGAAGAGCTGGCTGGACCGCTCCTGGGAAGGCGAGACTGTCTTCTCTGAGCACATCGCCCCATCGCAGGACAGGGTGAAGTCAGCAGAACTCTGATGTGGAGATAAGGACAAAATGCCGAACTGACGCGTGCTTTGGCGCACGACTGGACCGTGAGGCCTAACCTCACATGGGACGCTTGGACCACCCCTTGGGCCAAGGTGGCTTGAGCCAAAAAGGCTACGGACGAGGAGGAGGAGGCGGAGGAGGAGGAGGACGGGGGAACAGGAGGAGGAGGGGGAGGGGGAGGAGGGGGAGGGGGAGTGGAGGAAGGTGGGCATCCCTGCAGACCGGTCGTCGCCAACTGCCTGCTCGAGCACGTTCCCCAGCTTCTTGCTGGTGGGCCTGCGTGAACATCTGACGGGCAACTTGCCCCAAGTGTCTCCAGAGCAGAGGATCGGCGGCGAGCGAAGGGGGGAAATGAGAAAGAGAAGGCCTTCTCAGAAGGTGGCAGGACTTCTCAGAAGCCACCAGGTCCCCGCGCCTTCTGAGGAGTTTTCTTTGTCTTCGTGGAAGGCTCAGAACACTTCTCAAAGGCCGGGGGACGTCCAAACCTTCTGAGAAGGACGTCTCCCTCTCACTTCCCCCCCATCGCACGCCGCCGAAAACTGTGCCCAGGACGCGAGGAGCGGGTGGAGGGGGAGGGAGCGGAAACTCGCAGGCGCTGTCTGAGAAGGGTACTGCTTCAGCCGTGGACGCGTAGGCCTGTGAATGACACTCGACGGCTGGACGCACACGATCGGCATCGCTTGAGCATAGCTTGCGAGCCACAAGAACATGGTGGGACAACCTCATGGAACACGAGATCCCAAATGAGAGGGTCTGCTTCATACAGTCACACCGTCTTTGGAACACATCCCGGATGACCAAAGGGGGGGGATACGGAAACTTGTCGGCTCCCAGGAGCCCCATAATATGTCCATGTCTACCGCCTCCCGAAGTCGAGGAAGATCGCTGCCCAAGGCTAAGGAGAGATACAACTCCCAGCCTTGGAGGTTACGCAAGGAAGAACTGATGGCGGACTAGGGGCCCATTCTTCATTCTGCGCGAAAGCGCCCGTTACTGGCGCCGCCCCCCCCCCCCACACGCCCCCTGGTCTCGCCACGATTCCGCCAGGGCCGACTGAGAATACAACTCGCCATTCCGGAGCATTACCAGACGGCGCGCGCCGGCGCGAATCGTGACGTTACTCGCCCCTCGCCCCCCCTACCCCTCCCGACAGGTCACAGCGCTATCGCCAGGGTTGAGAGGATCGTCTCCCGAAGGGTCACAGCCAAACCATGCGCGCGCAGTGCAGCAGAGCAGCGTCGTGCAGCGGCTCGCCCCGTGGCCCAGCGTGGAGTCCAGCCAGGCCTGCGCGCACGCGCCGCGGGTGGCGAGAGGCAGGGGCGGCAGCGGTGCCGCCGAGGGGTCAGGCGTCATCGGGTGCGACAGAGACGGGGGGTAGGGCCAGGGCGAGAGGGAGGCTTGCGCATCATGGCCCAAAGCATGTGTTTGGGCGTGGGCCAGGGGACGGAAGGACGAAGGCAAGACCACGCACCCTGGGAGTCATCATGGCCGCGGCCGTAAGACCCTCACCCCCTTGATGTGAAAACCCTTTCCCGCCGAAGGAACGGTTAGCAAGATGAGCAATTCCAGCAGGGGCAGGTAAATGCGAGGCACAAAGCGGCATGGCAAACCATGAGTTGACCATGTGTTTGAGGCAATCGAACAGACCGTCACCCTTGAGGCACTTAGCTGGGCCTCAACAACCTCGTTACCTGCGTACGCCTTCGGCGAAAGAGGCTTCTTTATCTGCCGTAGGTGGGACCTGTGTGGGATAAAAACAGAAGCCCACGCACTATAACTATACGACAAGCTGGCGATTACGAACGCTGGATCCAAACACGTTAACACACCATTTTTCCCTTCGCCAACTTCCGCTGGCCTTCCGCCAGCTTTCGCCGAGGGCAAGATGCGTCGATCGGAATGTCTGTTTGTTCTTCCTGTGGGGCGCGCCAATTGGCGGCTGGGGCTACGAGCGCCTTTGTGAGGCCGTCTCCGTCAGGAGATCTTATTCCTGGTTCGTGACGTGCACGACGTGCGCAAGAGACCATCCCGTATGTTATGACCTACACGGGGTCGCCGCAAGGATGTTCAATCCGTTGGCTGCCGCTGCATTGGCGGTGGGTTTTTGTTTGTCCCTTAGTGGTTCCCAAATTTTCGTTGATGTCGTCGCCCTCCCAGTGACGAAATGGTTTGCAGGTTGTTTCCCGCTGGTTGCAACCAACCTGTTGCTGCTGTGATACGCAATGGTGGTTTGTTGATGGTGCTCATACGCTTCCACGATGGCGTCCTGACGGTGTCGCTGCGGAGCCCTGATGGCCCCTATGGGTCTATTTTGGTTAGCCGATACAGTCCATGTGCCTCGATGGTGTCCCGATAGTTTGGCTGATAGTATGGCGATCGTGTCCCGCCCCATGGTGTCCCGATGTTTGGTTGCGGGTTTGCTAATGCATCCAAATGATGGCCCCATAATGTGCGTTGGTTGACCGATGGTGTCCATGTGGTTTGCTAATGGTGTTCTGGTGATGGTGGGCCTCTCTGGAAGTCTTTTGGGGTCGCCTTGGGGAATCTGCCAGGACCTCTAAAGGTCGATTGGATGCCCGTGGGGCCTTCATGGCATGTCTGGGCGCGTCTTTGGGCCGTCTGGGCGTTATCTTGGGCCACATTGGTCCTATCCTCTCCAGACGTCTTGGAAATCTCCGGGAGATCCCTTGGACTGCTCCGATTTCTCTCGAAGCCGCTTCGTACCTCTGCGGGAGATTGATGGTCCCCTCTGAGGCCGTCTCCAATATGCAACACTTCTTGAAGGCATGATGGGCTGATTTCCGAAAGGTCATTAACCTTCGCAACAGCATTACTCTCTGGAGTCTCTTCAGGAGCGCCCCCGCGAAGTTTCTGGAAGCCTCCTCGCTTAAAACCCCCTCCAGCCTGCGAGCCGCAGCCCCTGACCCAGACCGACGGAAAACAAGCCTCTGATGGCCGCGCCCAGCCGCATTCGCGGGCGGGCGCGTGCAACGCAACGACGTCGCAGTGCAGAGAGGAGGAGGAGGAGGAGGAGGAGGAGGAGGAGGAGGAGGAGGAGGAGGAGGAGGGAGGAGAGAGGGAGGAGGAGGAGGAGGAGGAGGAGGAGGAGGGGGAGGAGGAGGAGGAGGAGGAGGAGGAGGAGGAGGAGGAGGAGGGGGAACTAGAATTGCAGGGCTTGGAAGCCGTACGAGAGAAAGCATGGCGGCAATCGTATCTAGATTCTAGATTGCGGGATTTTTTTCATCATCCAATACATAGATATGCGTCGGAGCTCGGGCCAAACAGCCTCAACCTCTCCTATTTGTGTCGGGAATGCGCGGGCGATCGAACAACTTTGGTGGAGAAGAGAAACCAAAGGAAAAAGGGGACCACAACTGTCCAACTGCTAGCACATCCTAGACCCGGCAGGGAGGCACTGTCGCTGCCTGACCTGGCGGGCGCGCACGTTGGGGCGCGAGCTCATCAACTGTGCTGGTGAGTTCGCTCGTGCTCTTAAGAGCGGCACTGGAGCAGCTCACGCGTGTGAGTGATGATGGTGTGCATTGCACGTTGCCGCATTGTGTGATGCGGCCTTGGGCCGCACACATGATGTCTGAAAGCCTGTCCTGGGACTTCGGCAAGGTAGTGGCCCACGGGTGAACCGGCGAGGCGAGGTGGAAGCGTAGTGCCTTGACCTGGGAGGTCGGAGAAAAGGTTGTGGATGGAGATAGACCTTGAAGGATGTGCTCACTAATGGATGACGATTAATAAATGACCGGGGGTCGTGTTCACGCGGCGGCGCCCGGGATGACGATTAGAAAAAACCGGCCGCGGGCTGGAAAACTATTTTTTTATCGTTCTCCTCCAGTCAGAAACTTGGGCAGAAGAAGCAGAAAACTATGTTTTGATCGTTCTCTTCAATTTTTGTTTATTAATCGTCATCCCGCATTAGTTTGGCACGATCGCTCCGATCCAGACCACTGTCAGCGACCTCCTCCCCGGGTGGGGCGGACTCGGCACTGCCCTTGGGTGGGGGCGGCCGTTGTGGCTCATCGGCGCTGGCGCGCCGAGGGCCGCGCCGGCGCGCCGACGCTCGATCTTCTCCCCAGCCCTGAGGGCCTTATTCTTCTTATGGTCCTTCTTATTATTCTCCTCCTTTTTCTTCCTGTTCCTCTTCTTCGTATTGTTCTTCTTCTTCTTCTTCTTTGGAATGTCAGCGGCGTCGTCTGTCTTGGGCTCGCGCTAGTGCTTGCTCTTGTCCTTGCGCTTGCCGGCTATCACCGCAGCGTGCCCTCGGGAGCCGGTGGGCGCCATGGTCCCCGTCCTGGTCCAGGACGGGCGTCGAGTCGACAAGCGAGGCAACGTCGGTCTCCAGCTCGAACAGTGAGCCGGGCTGGCTCCCACCTGGATCCCACCGTTCAGAGCAGTCTGAGTACCCAAGGCCACGTCATCGAGCCCAGGAAGCTCCACTCCTCTTCCGCGACCGACGCAGGACGGAGTCACCCGCTCGTTCCAACGTTGTGCGCGTAGCCGTCCTCGGCCAGGCAGGCCTGCCGACTCGCGCGCGCGTGCTCCAGGGTGGCCTGCGCGTGCCTGGCCGTCGTGCCGGCGCAGGTCCTGCTGGCGCCATCGGCGCAGATCCTGCACGGCAGGTCCACGGGGCGCTGGAGGAGGGGCACCCAGGCCGTGCACAGGTCCTCGCATCGGCCACGCCACACGCTCACGATCAGCCGGAGGAGCTTGCCGCTCACGATCAGCAGGAGGAGCAGGAGCAGCAAGTTCCAAGTTCCTTGTTGACTTCCCCCCTAAGGTAGTTGGTCGCGACGGCGGCCGCCCATGCCACGTAAGAGAACATCCAGCCACCTATGCACAGGCCGTCGAAAGGGTACGTGCGAAGAACACCGCCGCGGGGCTGTCGCCCACGAAGGCCCCGCAGAGGTTGTGCCTCGCGTGCTCCCTGTCCGAGTCCACAATCGTGAATGTGCTCGTCTCGTGACGCTGGCGGAAGTAGCACTGCGAGTCATCCTTAATCGACCTCTCAACTGCCGATGGTAACGAAGTAAGAGCAGGGCACCCGAGCGCGTTCGTCATGTCCTCTTCCGCCGTGACCGACGAGACGCCGAGCGCGCGTAGACGCCACAACAGCGCCTCTTGGCACGTCAACGCCCCCTCATCTGAAACCGCATCCGCGGGTCCACGCCGAAATTGAGCTGTGTACCACAGCACCCGTAAGGAGGAGGAGGAGGAGGAGGAGGAGGAGGAGGAGGAGGAGGAGGAGGAGGGGGCACGCCATGTCCTCACCATCATCACCGCCTCTGCCGCCGTCGGCGAGTACCGCCGACGGGGCAGTTCGCCACCCTTCACGGCAGCGCGCGCTGACGAGTGCGAGTCTGCCGAACAGAAGGGGGTCAAATGGGCCTTACTATCCTGGTGGGCCAGACGGTGCATATGGAACGATAGCACTGCGTATTTCAAGTTTCGGGTTACGGGGGGATGAGGCCCAGCGCGAGGGGGGGTCCATAGAAGGGGAAGCGGGAGTAAGATACGCCCATTGCCTACGGGCACGAATATACATAGACAAGCAGTGGCAGAAGGAACGCTTCAATGAAGCGAGCTCCCCAGGACTCCCCCAGACGCCGCCCCTGCACGGGATATGCATCCTCGGCTCGGTGATCCAACCCCCTTCACCAGGCTTTGATACAAACACTTCGCCGGGATGGCGGGACCCGATGCAACAGGAGCGCCACGCTCTGAAGGGGGGGAAGTCACGCTGAGTGCTAGTGGACCAGCTGGCTGACTGCGGCACTGCGCCGCGCGGTCGCCCGAAGACGGAGGTGGGCGTACTGGACAGCACGTCTGGGGCACTGTAACCCGCGAGCACGGCAGGCATTGAACGCAGAGTCTATTACGTCATCAGGGAGGAGGAAGAGGAGGAGGACGTCACGAGGGGTGGCCCTAAAAACGCGGATAGGCAGTGGAGAATCAGCTCCTGGAGTCACTGTAGCGAGCCTCCTGGCGCCCCGTGCGCCCTTGTGGCATGGATCGCCGAGCCCCTTCGACCCCCGAGAGGCAGACAGAGCTTTTGGGGGTTGGACGGGCGCCCCCCACCCTACCATCCCCCCCCCCCCACACACACACACACACACACACACACACACACACACACACACACACACACACACACACACACACAGACAGACACAGACACACACACACACACAAACACACACACACACACACGCACACACGCACACACACAAACACACACACACACACGCACACACACAGTTACACACACACGCACACACGCACACGCACAAAAAAAGTTACACACACTTACACACACATTAAAGCAACGTGTAATCAAATCGCAAATTGAGTTTGATTGTCATTGATTTCCAGAAGCAGCGCCGTGGAAGCCGCGCGCGTATCGGGAGGCCCGAAGAGCAGGCAGGGCGGCGGAATCGCACTGCTGCTCGACTCTACTCCATCCTCGGACGAGGAGCAGGAGGATCGAGGATTGAGCTCGACGGGCATCGCTGGGGGAACCAGCTCAGTGGGGGGGAGCTTCGACCTGGAAAATCGGCGATACTTCGCCGATGGGTCCGCGATCGGCGACAGGCCCCCATGGCGAACACCCGCACGACTCCTGGGCGGGGTGGGGCGTGGGGCGCCCATCGGCGATGCATGGGCGAGTGGGGGTCGATGCGCGCCTCCCCTGCGCCGATCCACTCCCCCCAGCGTTGCCCCGAAGGAGAAGGAGGATCGGGGACGCACTGACCCGGGTCAATCCAGACCCGGGCCAGTCAGGCCTTGCAGAATCCTGCAAGATCCTGCAAGGGCCTGCACCCAAGCCCAGGCCAACGCGAAGGATCCTGCAGGATCCTGCGCCAAAAGCCCGGATCAGTGCGACCCTGGCCCTGCAGGATCCTGCAAGATCGGGCGCTCTGGCTGACCCTCGTTTGCATTGACCCCCGCCTCAAGGCTCCCGAGAGGATGGAGGATCGGGGAGGCCGGCGCTCGCGGAGGCCCCTTTCTCCTCGGCCGCCCGGCGACGGCGACAGCTCAGCCGCGCTGCAGGAAGCCCCGCGCGGCCGCTCTGGCGCCGGCTGCCGTCATTCACCTGGCTTCCCGGGGAGGCCAAGGAGGAGAAGGACAGAACGGGAGATTGTGGAGAAACTCGGGGTCGAAGGCGCGCGCGCGAGCGCGAGGCTTTCTCGCTGAGTTCGCGCGTGCGTCTTTGAAGGCTCTGCATGCTCTGTGGCGTCCTCCTCTCCCTCCTCTTCCTCCTTCTGTCCTCCTCCTCGTCCTCCTCCTCCTCCTCCTCCTCCTCCCCCTTTCTATTCCTCCTCAAAAGAGACACGGCCAATTGTTGTTCTGGTCTGCGGCCCCCCCAGAAAAATCGTGCTCCCCGTTTTCAAACTGTTTCTGTTGGAAGATGGCCGAAAACAAAAGCTCGACCTTTTCCTTCTTTTCGTGCTCGACCTCCTGCATGTCCTGCTCCTCCTCGTCCCCCTCCCCCTTCCACAGCCCCTCTGCTCCCGCTCCTCTTCCTCCTCCTCTCCCTCCTCCTCTTCCTCCTCCTCTTCGCCCACCTCCCCCCGACTCCTCTTCAACAAACACAATTACTTGTTGTGTTGCCCCCGAACAAAATCGTGGTTCCCGTGTGTCTGTTGCTGCTTCTTTTTGTTACGGGGGGGGGGGGGCAAGAGAACGAGCTCCTCATGTTTATTTTCCTCTTCCTCCTCCTCCTCCTCCTCCTCCTCCTCCTCCCCCTGTTCCTCCTTCTCCTCCTCCCCCTCCCACACCCCACTCCTCCCTCTCACCCTACATATCGCCCTCCCTACTAAGGGTTCCATGCCAAGGACTCCTTGCTAATAGCGCAGAGATTAGCATTGCTTAACAAAGCCTTTACCAAGGACTCAGGAAGGAGACCAAGAGCTTACCAGGGTTCCCCAAAGCTTACCATGGTTTCAGAACAAAAAAAAGTCACCACGGCGGAGCAGAGCTTAGCTGGGCTTAGCAAGGTTGCGCAGTGCGTATCTGGGATTGCCAGAGAGTAGGAATGCTTAGCAGAGCTTGGCAAGGCTTAGAAGGAACTGCCAAGAACTGCCAGGGCTTAGAAGGAAGTGAGCTTGCCAAGGCGTAGCTGGGTCTACCAGGGCATACCAAGCTTACTGGAATATAGCGAGCCCGACCTACCTCACCTGAGTTTTGGAGAGCTTACCAAGCTTAGCAAGGCTTAGCGAATCGCACTAGGAGAGAACATATCTTACCTGGGCTGAACAGTGTTCAGCAGGGCGTGCAAGGACACAGCAGGGATTTGCAAAACTTGCCCGGGTCTTAGCCGTCCTTACCAGGGGAGCTGGCAGAGCTTGCCAGAGCTGAGCAGTGCTTAGCAGGTCCAGTAGGACTCAGAAAACTTTACTAGGCTCTAGCAAGCTTGTTTTTTTTTGTTTCCAAAGTCTCGCGAGGCTTACCCGGGGGTAGCAAGGCTCCAAAAACTCAATTGGGCTTGAGGCTTCGCAAGGCCTAGCACGGCCGGAAAACAAAAACTGGCCAAAACTGAGCAAGGCCCAGCGGGGCTTAGCAAGGCTTGCCTAGCTTACTTGGGTTTCGCAAGGCTGAGCCACATGTCTGTAATACGTGGCTGCGCCGAGCTTTCCATGGCATAGCAGGAGTTACTCGAGCCTCGCACGGATCAGCAAGACGTACCAGGACTTAGCAGGGGTTGGTCGCCCCTGTCAGCGCGCAGCAATGATCAACAAGCTGAGCCGGCCCCAGCAAGGTTTACACAGCTCTTGACGGGCTTACAAACGCCCAACAAGATTTACATGGTCTCAGCAGGGCTTCGCAGGGCACAGCAAAGCTCACGGGGCTCATGGCGTCGCAAATATTAGCACGGCTTAGCAAAACTGACCAAGGCAGAGCAAGGGTCAGCAAACCTAAGCCTGGCTTAGCAAGTCTTGCCGAGCTTAGCTGGGCCTGGCCAGGCTCACCTAGCTTCGCTGGGCTGAAGAGAGTTGACCAGGGCATAGCAAAGCTTAACAAGGCCGAGCAGGGCGCACCAGCACTTAGCAGGGCATTGCGCAGCTTGTCGGGGCTTAGCAATGCGTAGCAGGGCCAAGTAAGGGTCATCAGGGCTTACCAGGGCTCAGGAGGGCATAATTTGGCTTAGCAAGGCGTGCCAAGTTTTAGCAGGGCTCAACAAGTGTCGGAGGCCTCGTAAGGCGTAGCAGGGCTCAGCAAAGCTTGCGGAGGCTGGGCAAAGCTAAACACGGCCTAACCGATCACACCAGGCCTTATCAGGGCTTGCGAAGGCTTAGCAGGACTTAGCAGAGCTTACCAGGGCTGAGCAGAGCGTTGCAAGGCCTACCCAGGCTGATGGGGTTTATCAGGGTTTACCAGGGCTGAACAAGGCTTCGCAGAGCTGCGCAGGACCGAGCAACGCTCAGCAAGGCTTAGCAAGGAGGGTTTAGCAGGGCCGATCAAGGCATACCAGAGCGTAGCGGTGCACAGCTTCTTCTTGGCAGAGCTTAGCAAGGTTGGGCATGGCTTAGCAAATCGTAGTAGGGCATGCCAGGGTAATGCCGGACGCTCGCAAGGCGTAGCATATAGAACTAGTGCGTGGCAGGTCAATGGCTGAGCACGCAAGGATGGCAAACGAATGGCAGGCTGAGCTGGCGAGGGGAAGACGCTGACAAAAGTTCGGCGTCAACTCCCCAGGCGTGCCCGCGTCACTCTGTTCAGGTTGCTTGTCGCATTGTGTATTCGGAGGCAAAAGGTACCTTAGAACGAGCTTGCTGCTCACATGGTTGGGTGCGATGCCCATGATATCTTGAAGGGCCCGGCTGCTCTTCGTCGCTGGACGAGCTCTTCGGGCGAAACCGCGTTGCTTGAAAAAGGACATCCCCTTTCTCATCGTCCAAGACGCGGCCTCGCCACTATGGGGGAAAACGGCTAGGCCTTACTAGCTGGCACGCTGGCATGGCTGTAAGCCGGCGACGGCGACGGCCGATCCCCTGGCGTGGGGCACGAGTCTGTTCGGCGTCGGCGACACGGCTTGACGGTCACCAACGGCGGCGACGGCCCCTCCAAAGCTCGCCATTTAGAAAAAGACACTCAGGGAACAGCGTCTTCTTATTAGCAAGATGGCAAATACATCTGAGCGACAACGTCTACAGAACAATGCTGTCGCCGCGGCGAGATGGGCACGACTAAGCCAGTGCCTGCAGGGATGGCCCTGCCTCCGCTGCGCTTGCGCTCGGGTGCGAGCTCGGCGTGCGCACGCGCTCGGGCTGTCCAACCTTCACCGCAGGCTTGTGCGCACCACATTCCTAGTTACCCAATGTACACCTGGGGCGGCCAACCCTTCCTCACACTCCTGCGTGAGGTAACATCTCTGCGCCTTGAACACTGTCCAGCACCAAGTACTCACCGCCTCACACCGAAGGGAGACGTAGGCGTGGATCGCAGCCGCGCGCCTAGCAGATGTGCTCAGACCGAAGCCGTGGCATCCCAGGTTCGGGGCAGGACAGGGCGAGAAAGCAAAAAGAGCTGACACACAGCGAAGACACGCACAGGACTGGAGCCGGCTCATGTGCCACAGGCAAAGCAGAAACCACGCGTGCCTCCAAATGACGTGACAGGAAGTCTGGGGACGAGGACAGACACGGGACAGGAAACGATTAAAACAAATGTTCGCCCTGCATTCCATTCCGTGGTCATGGGGTGGATGGGGGGGCAAGTAGCTTAGTCAATTAGTCATGGCCTCACTTAACTTGTATCGCCAGTTTCAGGCTCTCGGGGCCCATCTCACGCCCAAGGACAATCAACATCACTACTTCAAGGTAAAACATTGTCATGAAGAAAACCCTCACTTGGCCCACGACCCGGTTCCCTCAGGACCCCTTTTCCGTATGAAATCTTCGCTTGCTCGGAACAGCGAACCCCCGTGCCTCTTCCAACGCCTGCTTAACCCCACCCAGTACTGGCGCAATCACTTCTGCACCTTTCACAGCCTGGTCTACGAAGAACTTCATAAAACATGATCCCAGACGTAACACAAATTCTGGAAAACCCCCTTTGTGTACAGACTGCGCATGCCCCGCGACGATACACGCATGATCGTTAGTCATCTGTTCCGCTGACTGCCTGGAACAAACAAGCTTCCAAAGCGTCACATCACTATACAACAGTTCTACAGCTCCGAAATACTATGCCAAGGCAACCTTCTGTTTCCTGTTCCTCTCCCCTATTACCTTCGTACGATTTGCGAAGGTGGCGTTGCTGCGGCCGCCGAGAAATGATAACGAGGGAAGGGAAAGGAGGGAGGCTGAAGAGGGAGGAGGGAACGTGGAGAGGAGGGCGAAGCTGGAAAGGCAAAGAAGGAGGAGGAGACATGAGGAGTGGTGAGCGAGGAAGAGGAGGACAAGCAGGGGAAGAAACAGGAGCAGAAAGGGCAAGAAAGGGTGTGGACGCACAAAATCATCGCAAAGTCGCTTTCGCAAAACCACAAACACGCCTCACACGCTTCCTCCAGCATCGGACGGAACGCACGCCACATTATACAGCTAGTTACTGAGACGCATGTATAGCACGCAAAGGCGACCATCTATTGCACTGCGCAGGTACGTGTTTGTGGTTCTGGCGTTAGGGTGTTGTGATGGTGTGAACTTGCCAACACCTTCAGACATAGCATCATGCCAAGCCCACCCATGCATAAAACCCACATCATGGTTTCCCCACCTGCTTGCGCTGTTGCCGCTGCTGCTGCTACTGGTGGATTGTCCACCTGAACCCCCACATGCAGTCAAGAGTCGCCCTCGCATGGTTCGATGTAGTTCGTGCCCTGGTTGCCCCTGATGGTGACGTAGCCGTCGACGCCGTCTCTCAAAGCACGAATCCTGTCTGCCGACTCGTCTGTTCTCTAAGCCCCTCCCGGGCGTATAGGATGCGAAGACATAACCAACCAATATCACAACTCTGCATGGCAGGAGGCGCGTGGCAACTAGCGCGACGTGACTGTCAACTCGAGTGCTCGCGCATGTCTTTGTCTCGCTCCTTTTGATTGCTCCCTGCTCGACCTCCTCCGGAAGGGTGTAGGGGTATGCTGTCTCAGCAAGTTTTCCGCCACCGTACCTCGAGGCACGAAGTGAAGTGTCCTGAGGTCCTCAAGGGTTCCCTGCGCTCTGTACTCAGGACTCTGGACTAAGGACTGCGGCCCAAAAATCTCAATTTTTCTGGGCGTTCCAACGCGTTCCCGGGCTGCCGCGCATGACTTGTCCAGAGACCAGGAGGCCCTAAGACGAGCAAAGGGGGGCCCGGAAAGCGCCCAAGAGGGTCCAAGAGGCCTCCAAGACATTCCAAGAGCGCCCCAAGACACCCAAAAGTGGCCCCAAAACGGCCCAAGAGGCCCCAAAGAAGCCCCAAGTGCGCTCCAAGAGGACCCCCAAGAGGGCCCAAAGAGGCAAAACTGATGGATGTGTCCTGTGCTTTTTCTGTGTGTTTTGCATTCTCGCGTTTTCGAGCTTCTGACGCTCCAAGATGGCCCCAAGAGCCCCCAAGACCGCCCCCAAAACCACCCAAGAGACTCCCAAGACGGCCCCAATACGGTCCAAGAGGGTCTCAAAACGGCCCAAGAAGCGTCCAAGATCGTCCAAGAGGGCCCCAAGAGGGGCCCAAGAGGGGGAGCACAAACCGACAATTTGAGCCTTCCGCCCCAACAAGCCCCCAGGAGGTTCCCAGAGGCCCCCAGGAGAGCCCAAGAGGCCCTTAGAGGCTCCACGAGGCTCCCAAGAGGCCCAAAAAGAGGCCCCAAGAGGCCCTCCAAACGGCACCCGAGAAACCTCAAAACTGCCTCCAAGAGGCCCCCGAGAGGCCTCCCACGATATCCAAACGAACATCCAAGAGGCCTTCAACCCACAACCCAGGCACGGTGGCGGGATGGGCCGAAGGCCAAGGGATCCGCCGCACCCTGTTGATTCATCACAGGGGTGCCTGGCGTGCTGAACTTCTTACGGTTTTGGTTTTGGTTCTTTTCCAAAAGAACTCTCCCAGTGGGCTCCGGCGCGTCCCGCCGGGGTCCCGGGAGGATGCCGAAAGATTTTCCAGAGGTGGTTGCAAAGGGTTTTTCCGTTCCAGACGGCCCCAAGATGGCTCAAGATGGCTTCCAGGATGCCTCCAAGACGGCCAAGATGCCCTCCAGACGGCTAAGATGGCCCCAAGATGCCTCCAAGACGGTCCTCCAAGAGGCACCCAAGACGGCCTAAGATAGCCTCAAGATGGCCCAAGACGGCCCAAGAGGCCCTCCTGAGGCCTCCAAGACGGCCCAAGAGGCCTCCAAGAGGTCCTCCAGGAAGGCCCGAAGAGGCCAAAATCGTTGATTTCCGTCGGGTGTTTGAAAGATGTTGGCATTTGCGTTCTTCGGCTTTCCGACGGCCCAAGACGGCCCAAGAGGCCCCCAAGATCGCCCAAGAGGCCCCCAACAGGCCCCCAAGACGGCCCAAGTGGCCCCCACCCACGACGGCCCCAAGAGGGCCCGAAACGGCCCAAGAGGCCTCCAAGACGCCCACGATGGCCTCCAAGACGCCCAAGATGGCCTCCAAGACGGCCCCGAAGCGCCCCAAGAGGGCCCCAAGTCGGCCCAGAAAGGCCCCCAAGACGGGTCCCGACGGCGTCAGACGTGCCAGAAACCGCCAAGATGGCCGAAGTTGGCTCGAAGCTGGCCCAAGACGGCCCAAGAGGCCCCCAAGAGGGCCTCCAGGAAGGCCAAAAGAGGCCAAAAACTTTGAATTTCCTGAGGTGTTTGACGGATTTTGACATTTGCTTATGTTCGGCCTTCCGATGACCCGAGACGGCTCAAGAGCCCCCAAAGACCGCCGAAAGATCGCCCAAGAGGCCTCCAAGATGGCCCCAGAACGGCCCAAGAGGGAACCAAGACGGCCCCAAGAGGCCTCCAAGACGGCACAGGAGGCCTTTAAGACGCCCAAGATGGCCTCCAAGACGGCCCTGGAGCATTCCAAGATGGCCCCAAGTCGGCCCATACAGGCCCCCCAAACGGCTTCCGACGGCGTCAGACGGACCAGGAGCCCACCAAGACGGCTGAACATGGCGCTAAGATGGCCCAAGATTGCCCAAGAGGCCTCCAAGAGGGCCTCCAGGAAGGCCCGAAAAGGCCAAAATCATTGATTTCCCATGGGTGTTTGAAGGATTTTGTCATTTGCTTGTTTTCGGCCTTCCGGCCCGAGACGGCCAAAGTGCCCCCACAGATCGCCCAAGAGGCCCAAGACACGGCCCCAAGAGGCCCCCAAGACGGCCCAAGAGGTCTCCAAGACGCTCAAGATGGCCTCCAAGACGGCCCAAGAGCCCTCCAAGACGTCCTCCAAGAAGGTCCGAACGGGTCAAAATGGCTTCCAGACGGCCAAGATGACCTTCAAGATGCCCACGTGTTCCCCGAAGGCTTTCCAAACCGATTCGGGGAACACATGGTCCGATAGCCTGGCAGGTCTGGCCTCAACGCTCGGCCACATAGGCGCTTCCAAAAAGGCAGGGGGCGGCGGTGATTCGCCGTAGGCGTGCCCCTGTTGGCTTGCCACAGGGGTGCCCGGCGTGCTAAATCATGTCGCTCTTGGTTTTGGCTCCTTTTTCCCAAAAACTCCTCCTGAGGCTTCGGCCCGTCCCTCTGGCAACCCGAAATGCCAACAATTCCCCCCGAAAATTCCAAGACAGCTCAAGATGGCTTTCAAGACCGCCAGGATGGCCTTTGATGGCCTCCAAGATGCCTCCAAGATGGCCAAGATCACCTCCAAGACGGTTACGATGGCCCCAAGATGCCTCCAAGACAGCCCAAGACGCATCCAAGACGGTCTAAGATAGCCTCAAGATGGCCCAAAACGGCCCAAGAGGCCTCCAAGACGCCTCGAGGACGGCCCCAGAGGCCTCCAGGAGGGCCTCCAGGAAGCCCCGAAGAGGCCAGAGTAATCGATGTGTCTTAGGTTGTTGCAAGTTTTTGGCTTCTGCGGATCTTCGGCTTTCTGACGGCCCCAGATGACCCAAGAGGGCCCCAAGGTCACCCCAAGATAGCCCAAGAGGCCTTCAAGATGGCCCCGTGACGGCCCTAGAGGCCCCAACCACTGCCCCAAGAGAGCCCCAAGACGGCGCAAGAGGCCTCCAAGATGCCCTAGATGGTCTCCAAAACGGCCCTGACGCGCACCAAGATGGTACGGCCTCAAAGACGGCTTCCGGCCAGGAGGCCACCCAGACTGCCCAAGATGGCTCCAAGATGGCCGAAGACAGCCCAAGAGGCCCCCAAGAGGTCCCCAAGAGGGCCTACAAGAAGGCCCGAGGAGGCCAAACCCATTGATTTCCGTAGGTGTTTGAAGGTTGTTGGCTTTTGTGCTTCTTCGGCCTTCCGACGACTCGAGATGGCCCAAGAGCCCCCGAAGATCGCCCCAAGATCGCCCGAGAGGCCTCCAAGATGGCCCCAGAACTGCCCAAGAGGCCCCAACACGTCCCCAAGAGGGACCCAAGAAGGCTCAAGAGGCCTCCAAGGCGCCCTAGATGGCCTCCAAGACGGCCCTGGAGCACCACAAGAGGGCCCCAAGTCGGCCCAGAGAGACCCTCAAGGCAGTTTCCGACGGCGTCCGACGGGCCAGGAGGCCATCAAGGCGGCCCAAGATGGCCCTAAGATGGCCCAAGACGGCCCAGGCGGCCCCCAACAGGTCTCCAAGACGGCCCAAGAGGCCTCCAAGAGGGCCTCCAGGATTGCCCGAAGAGGCCAAAACCATTGATTTGCCGTAGGTCTTTTGAAGGCTTTTGGCAATTGCTGCTTCGTTTCAGTCTTCCGACGGCCCTAGACGGCCCCCCGAAAGGCCCAAGAGGCCACCAAGACGGCCCCAGGAGAGCCCCAAGACGGCCCAAGAGGCCTCCAAAACGCCGTAGATGGCCTCCGAGCCGGCCCTGGAGCACCCCAAGGGGGCCCAACATCGGCCCAGAGAGGCCCCCAAGGCGGCTTCCGACGGGCCAGGAATACCCTAAGATTCCCAAACAGGCGCCCGAGAAGTTCCCAAAGGCCACCCAAAAGGCCCAAGGAGGCCCCCAAGATGCCTCCAGGAGGCTCCCAGGAAGCTCCCAGGAGGCCCCAAGAATGCCCTCAGAGGCTCCCAAGATGCCCCCTCCTCCTCCTCCTCCTGATCTTCCCCGCCATCCTCACCCAAGTGTTCCCCGAAGGGTTTCTACAACGGCTGGGGGAACACATGGTCTGATAGCTTGGCAGAGCTCTTGGCACAACGCTCGGCCACATGGGCGATTCCAAAAGGCAGGGGGTGACGATGATTCGCCGTAGGCGTCTTCGCTACTTGAGTGGGGAAGTAGAGCAGGAAGAACCATTTACCCCGGAAGATGAAACCTGTGAGGCGGATGCCTACACGAAGCGGAGGGGACAAGCGAAGCCGGGCATGCCAAATGAAATCTTGGTCAATTCCTGAATCGTTTTCGAGCACGGGAAAAGGACCTACTAGGCCAGATTATGATACTCGGGTGCTCTTACGACTGATGCAATCAAGCCATACGAAGATAGCATATTCAAGTTGTACGCATCAAGCTGTAGAAATCAGAACCGAACCCAAGAAGAAAGTTTCAACCTAAAGCGAGGGCGAGCTCAAGAACATAGACTCATGCCCATTAACCTGAGGAGGCATATAGTAATCTCCCTGGAAATACCGCTGCAACGAATCATAGTAAAATAACATGTTCGGCGGCACCCTCCCGGCGATATCGACAGCACACGAAGCAACACATCACATTGAAAAACAAACAATTTCGCATCAAGGTACCTCAAAGGCATCTCCACGGAAAGTCAGAAGACAACTCGACCGAATTCCAAAGGAATCCCAGGAATTTGCGGACGAGGGCTCGCGTGGACATCGGCAATCCTGGTTGCGATCCCAATGCAGACATTCATCCTTCCAGGAGATCCGATGGTAGAATCGACCGGAGGACACCGCAGACGGATTCCGCCCTCCCCCCCCCACGCGATAGATCAGCACATGCACTAACAGCAAATCAATACAACGGACGCGTGTATGTGTACGTATATATATATATACATACATACACCTATAAACGGCAAACTGAGAACAATTGAGCGTGATAACAGTATTCAGCAAACAGTGGGTGTACTTTGAAGCAACCTGCACTTCATGGAATAGAATCACGGTTTAATAATAGCGTCGCAATATGACCCCAACGCCCCAACAGCAATCTGTGCGTAGTAGAGAAACATGTGCACAGTAGAACGCATGACGTATCTAGGTGTGTATACATATGTCCATCTATATGTATGCACATGTAGGTATGTACACCGAGATGTTCGGACCATCACACAACAAGGAAGGGTTTACGTTTCCCTATACGCTACAACGCCATCCAGCACATAACTGCCATCATGTAATCCACATGACTTTTAACAACTTCTAATTGACATGATACGGGTACTTCAACTTTGAGCAGGGATGGGCGAAAGCATCGTCGAAGAAACTTCAATGGTGCCCCAGAGTAATCTCCAAGGAGCCCCAGCCGAAGCTGACGCAACTCTCGATCCTCCCCCTCGGGTAGGATCGCCAGCTCTGAGTGCCTGGCGAAACTCCTGGGATGCACAAGAAGCCTGTCGTCGGAACCTTACCCCTGCTCCTCCTGCCCACCCACAGGATCTTGGGTTGCGGGCCTCTGCCGGGGATATCGGTTCCGCCGGCCCCGGTGCCAGAAGCGTTGTACTTTCCACTGCTGGGGGAGGGGGGAGGGTGGGGGGTGACTGACTTCTTCCTACGGCTAACTATGACGGGCACAACGCAAGTTGAAGCACCTGCACCTCGACTGTGGGAAAAAGATGGGATTGATTCCTTCCTTCCAGGAACCATTTGGCACGGCTGCATTCCAGGTTTCGCTCTACTTTATCCGGAAGTGCATCGTATCCGCCCCTTTCTTCACCCATTCTCCACCTCCCCCTCTCACCCCTGCGAAGGACGATACGAGAGGAGGAGGCGTAGGTCTCCAGAGGTCCCTAGAGTCTTTTAGGTCCCTGGAGCCCCTGGCGATCAAAACGACATATCCTCCATATTCGATCCTCTTCCTCGATGAAGAGAGCCTCCATCCTCAAAACCTCCTCCATCCTCGATCCTCTTCCTCATTTCAAAGAGCCTCGATCCTCTTCCTCGATCCATCGATGGTTGAAGTTCGACCCTAGATGGGGGCAGAATCAGGCTGCGCAGTGGGGCGTAGGAGCGCGAGGGCGGGTGAGGAGGGGCCCAGTCAGCTCGTGCAGCAAGAGCTCGACCACAAGAAGCCTTCCCCTGAGGAGATCAATCACCGTGCTGGGAGGAAGGGTTTGGGAGGGTGCAGGGTATGAGCACTAGCATCCGTCTGCAATGAACACTACCTTCGGCTGCCTATGGTTGTGATATCCTCATCTCTCCCGACCCCATCGTCCCAACCCAATGGTTGTGTTCCTGATCCATGCGGAACCCAAACCTGAAACCCGAGGACGTCCATTGATTCTTGGTGCGGGAACGTCACACTTCCTGCAGCAGGACCCAAGGAACCCAATTAACCCAGGGCAGCCTGGAGGCAACCAGGGTGTTTCTTGGCATGGGTTCCCATACAAACAACAGGGGCCTTGGCAGGCCATGCTGGCACCTTGCGAGCGGGGCGCGGCCAGCGAGAGCGGCCGAGAATGGGCCGGAGGGGAAGGATGCAAGGGTAACCTTGGAAAGTCGCTCATCCAAGCTATGCGGGTTCACTGTGTGGGGGGCTCGGTCTCAACGATCCTGATCCTGACCACATCGAACTCCTCGTCCGACTGCGGCGCCTCCATGAGCTCGACGATCTCACCTGGCGGGGGGCTCGTCAGATGGGGGGCATCTGCGGATACTGCTACGTGTCCCTCGTCGCCACGGCTGGATTCGCCTCGAAATCCTGGTCAGAACGCTCCCCAGGAGAGGTCTAAGGAATCGCTGTACCGGAAAATGCTCGTTACAGCGAGGCTCGGGCGCACGGCAGAATCAAGGGCATCCAAACGTCCAGCGGGTCGAAATACATCGAGGCGCCGTATTTCGCAATGTTAGATCCTGGGGGCTGGTTTCCTCGGGCCCCGCGGCAATCATAAACAGACCTCTCGCCAGAGAAGGTTTGAGAGGTCCCTTGGGGTCACATCGCCGCGACCATCGGACGTTGGGACCATGAGACCCACAAAAAATCATGCCGTCGGACAATTGGGCAGGTGAACCGATGGGGCGCAGCCGCAGGAAGAGAGGGAGCGATGCATTGGGGAGGCGACACGAGGGAGGCTACTGTTCCGCGGACGCAGAGCTGCCGCAGCGTGCCAGGTGCAAGCCCGGTTGTGAAAAACTCTTCCTGCTCCTGCTCCTGCTCCTGCTCCTCCTCCTGCTCATGCTCCTGCTCCTGCTCCTGCTCCTCCTCCTCCTACTCCTCCACCTCCTCCTCCTCCTCCTCCTCCTCCTCCTCCTCCTCCTCCTCCTCCTCCTCCTCCTCCCCCTGATCCTCCTCTTCCTCCCCCTCCTCCTCCTCAGCCATTTCGCGCCCGGGCGGTCCCCCCCGTGCGCGGGAGCGCACGCGGGTGTGCTCCACGGGCTGACCTCGGGATGGCCACGTCCGCGGGAGCCTCCATCAAGACGCGCAGTGCCCAACGCCATCAGCTGTCATGCTGAGCTCCGGCGCGCGCGAGGCAATCAGGAGGAGCAGTGGCCTTTCCCGTCCCCTCGTTGCTGGCTTCTCTTTCTCTCTCGTTCCCCATCTCGTCATCATGGAGTGTGGCAGCGCGGACCACTGGGGTGCTGGCACAGGTGTGCAGGCACAGTGTGGTCGCGACTGGCGGGCAACGCCCACAGGCACACCGCCCGAGAGCCCGCGCGTGGCAACGTCATCAGCCACAGGGCTGGGACGCGCTCGCGCGTGCGGAACGGCCGAGCAGTCGCAGTCACCAACGGCGCTACCCAGTGGCAAGAAGCAGGAGCAGCAGGGACTCATCAGTTACATCGCTGGGAGCGGCTCGCGCGAGAGACCAGACAAGCAGGGGCCAGCCAAGATCAGCAGCGTCATCAGCTACACTGCTGGGAGCGGTCCGTGTGGCGAGCAGGGGCTAGCCAAGATCAGCAGTGGTAGACACAATGCCGGGAGCGGTTCGTGCGAGCCTGAAGGAAAGCAGTGGCAGCCCACGTGGGCGCCGCGGGAAGCCGAAGGACGAGCCCGATGCCATCAGCTACGAGGCACGTCGACGGAGCAGGGGGAGCCAGAAGGTCGAGCCCAATGTCGTCAGCTACAGCCGACGCGATGGACGGAGGCAGCTGGCGATGAAGGACGAGCCGGGCGCCATCAGCTACAGCGCTGGGAGCAAGGCAAGACCAGCGGGAGCCAGGCCATACGCTGGAGCCAGAAGCGGAGGACGAGCCCGACGCCATCAGCTACTGCGCTGGAATCGGGGCAAGAAGCGGTGGTCACCTCACTGCGAAAAGCGGGAGGCGAAGTTGGAGCCCGACGCGAGAACACCAACCGAAGGTCGAGCCCGACGCCGTCAGCTACAGCAGGCAAGCTGTGTGAAGCGGCAGGTCGAAGGTCGAGCCCGACGCCATCAGCTGCATCCGACGAGATGTGGGGAGCTGGATGCGAAGATGGAACCCAAGAAGAATCTAGCGAAGCCCTGAGCCACTACTATGCGAGAAGTGATAGGCGAAGGTCGAGCCCGATGTCGCTACCCCTGGGATGGGGAAGGTGAAGATGGAGCCCCTGCGAGAAGCGAGAGGCACACCTCATCAGCTCCAATGTTGTTTGGGCCAGCTCGTGCGAGAATGCAATCATCAACTACAACGCTGGGATGCGCTTGCGCGCGAGACGACAATGGGTGCAAGGCTTGCGCGGCAAGCCGAGGGGATAGCTGGGGGGCCGCGTCGTCAGCTATCAGCCGCGAAGAGTTCAGGTTCGCACCCGCCCCAAGAAGGGCCCTTAAAGCTGAACATCGTCGACCAGGGACGGCCTAGGGTAGGGGGGGGCTTGTTGTCGTCGGCTGCGCTTTCTTGCTCATAGTGCAGCAAATCACGGTAGCATGATCCTCGTGGCAGAATCCTCCTCCTCCTCCTCCTCCTCACCTCCTCCTCCTCCTCCTCCTCCTCTTCCTCCTCCTCTTCCTCCTTCTCCTCCCTCTTGCCTGCATAAAGGGCGGTGTCCACAAAGCGGAGCCCCTATATAAAAGTTCGGAAGGGGGCCCACCATAATTTGTCACTCACCGACTGGGCTGCGATCCACCCAGCCAGTGAGCCGCAACATGGCCCCCTCCCCATATCAGAAAAACGCAGCTAGGGGCGGGAGTTCGAGATGAAGTTCAGGCCCGGGCCAGGCCTTAAAATCCGTCGGGGATCTCCCCGCCTCCAGTGCTTTGAGGACTCTCTCCCCATGCCCGAAGATCTTTTCAAGCTATACGTGGTAGCTGCATAGTCGCCACACCCACGACACCAAAAGACGCCCCGACACCTCTGAAGGCGCTTGTGGGACGGGTGGATCTTCGCAGGGAGTCCTGGGCACTCCGGACGGGGCCGTGAGGCATCTGGAGCACCTGAAGGCTTCCCACAACTGTCCACTAAACAATGGGAAGTGCTGGTGAAAAGCGCCGAGAAGACACTTGGCTTGGCAATTCTCCGTCGCTTGCTCTCGCGCTTCCTGTCCTCTGCGCTGCTAGCACCGTAAATATGGGTTGAGTTCGTGGCAGTGTGGTGGGAGACCGTCAACATGTGCTCCTGGACTTGCTTACTGAGGGTGTCGACCCGAAGCACTTCTGTGATGGCCCACTTGGGGAATTGGGCCTCCCTGGCACCTTCCTCTGCCAGCTTGTCCGCAACAAAATTAGCCGCCCAAAACTCGAAGCGGCTTGTGCGAACTATCACAGCATCGGAAGCGGACTCATGAGACTTAATTTTTACGGCCCTCGCACGACGCCCTACACACTCCTGCCAGCACAAGTCCCAGAACGTGGGGCTCTGAGTATGGTGAGAACGGGGGCCCGAATTAATCCCATAGAGAACTGAATCATTGTCGTGGACAAGAATAAGGTCACCCTCCGTCAGTTGGGCGATGCGATAGCAAGCCCGCAATTCTGACAAAATAACTGTCTGCTTGTAAGTAGGGAGGGGCCCCTTGGCCCATCCCGTAATCCCTCCTCCTAGGAAAAAGGCCGTCCCCCACCCGCGCCTCCGAAGCCTGGGGCCAGCGGAATAAGGGCCGCCAGACCCATCGCCTCCAGTGTAGGCCCCAGAAGGGGGAGGCGCAACTTTTCTCCTTGCAGGGAGGGGGACAGCCTTTCTACTCCCTGGATCTCCTTCAGGTGCTGGATGGTAAAGGTCCAGGCCAGAGGCGTGAGGCCACAGAGCCAGAAGCACGGTTCATCCCAGCACCCCTCGCGCGCATCGCCCTGGAGATCCCAATGCAAGCCCTCGTCGGGCAGCTCGAAGTTGCAGCGGCACTCCCAGATCTGGTGGAAAGGAATCTCTTTGCACTCTTGGCCTCTGGGGAACAAATCAGGACCCCAAGCTTCTAAACTGGGCGGGGCATTGTGGAGCAAGGCCTGGTCGGCTTCTCCTCCGACCAAGCCTCCCCCTCCGAGAGCGGGTCTTCCTCCTCCACAGGACTCCCGCCAGGGTCATCAAAAGCGGGAGAGCGGGAGCCTGCGGGGGCCTAGGGTTGCCCAGAGACGAGGAGGCAGCCGCAGCAGCAGGGGCATCGGCAGCAGCGGGGGGGCCGCCGGCAGGAGCAGGGGCGCTGCCCCCGCGGCTTTCGCTGGCACAACGCCTCGCTGCTGGCCACAAAGCTCCCGTGGCCACCATGTGCAAAACTCCTGCTTGATCTAATTCCTTGCGACGGGCAAGGGACAGCAGGTGCTGCTTCAAGACTGTGAAATCTACACCGTCCTGGGCACCCTTACCGCAAAGATGGGAACTGGCAGCATGGATCCAACACTCGTGATCTAAAGCTTGCTTGGTCTCAAAATTGAGCAGGTGCTCTCTGTCAAGCTCTAGAATGCGAGGAACCTCGCTTCCGGGGGCCCCCACGCAACGGGGCCAAGGGGTTCCCAGTGGAGGTCCATGAGGCTGGCGACTACAGCTCCTAATAGGCCTTTGACAGGGCCCAGTGCCTGGCAGCTGCCTGCAGAAGAGTGACCGTCCTGCTCCAGACGATCTCGATTGCTCCCATTCGCTCAGGCATGTGGGCTAAAATCTCCAGCCAGGGCGTGAAAACCTGCATTCTCCCATGGATCATGGGATCATCTTTTTCTTCGAAGCCTAGTCTTATGTCGGTGGTTGGGCAGCCTCCTGGCCGCCAGCCTCGTCAGCCGCCCGCAGCACCCCCGCGCGCTCCTGCGCGCCGCGGTGTACGGACTGCGCACCTGCGGCGCCGCCGCCAGCGCCAAGCCACGCGCGCGGATTGGCCTACGCGCGCCAGCTCGAACCTGAAGCCAAGGCAGCTTGAGCCAAAGTGGCTTGAGCCAAAATTATTTGAGCCACAAACGAATACACACACAATGGGCGTGGTGTAAGCTACTCAGTCTGGAGGCTTCCCAGGTTGACCAGAGAGGAGCTGCGGAACGTAGCATGGCAATGAATTATGAAACATTATGAAAAAGAAATGACACGTGCAAATCTGGGCGACCAATAACACAATGACTCAGACGTGTTCAGACCCCGGGCAAATTTCCCAGTGGCACGTATCACCTGCTCTGTGGATGCAACGATATGGGCTGGAATGGGACAATGCGTACAACAACATAGGCGCCGTGACATATATCACAACACTAGCCACCCGGGGACCCGCAGTTATCCTAAGCGCGAACTCTAATTTGAAGAGCAGACCCTGGGCCCGACTGCAGGCGCCAAGTGATCGCCTGCATTCAGGCGTCTGACGCAGCTGCTCTCCTTGATGCTGAGCCCCTTGGTCATCGCGACTGCCTTCTCCACCTGAAGCAAGATAGCTGTTTCACTCGATGTGATGGCCACACATCTCTAATATGACTCCCTCTCTCTCTCTCTCGGTCTCTTTCTCTCTCTATCGCTGGTTCTCTCTGTCTGTCTGTCTATGTATATATATGTATATATCGCTCCCTCTCCTTGTCTGCAAACAAATATGTGTACAAAAAACCATTCACCTGTACTGGCAATGCTGGCTGCAATACTTAAAACTCGGGTACTGGTTGGGTCGCGTACTTGGTGGGCTCAACACCATACCCTTTGCCGCAATTGGTCTGAACACTTGCTTCCGGAATACTTCACGCAACGCGCACAATGTTTAACGAATATATCAACCGATCCTGGGGAGGGGGAGAACATCAGCAAGAGAAGGCTAGATACAGATACACGCAAACACACAGACAACCGCCCATGTTCTGGCCACGATGGCAACACACCTAAACGCGATTAGCGTTCATATGCATCGAGCTATGTAACCGAGAGGCGCGGTACATGTCGTTTCCCATCTCTTTCCGCTGATGCCGTCGCCATCGCAAACATTCTGGAGAATACGTGGGATAACTACAAATATTACCATGGAAGCGCGCAATGATTGCCATCAAAGCAAGCATCGAGATACCATAATGCTAACACCCGTGGTAACTGCAACACTAACAATCTGTAACATGGGCAACACAATTCACCTTGCGACGATACCGTCAACCATATTCGCTATAGATTACGGCAGATGCTGTAAGACACCTCGCAAATACCCACATTGTCCGCTGCTTAGTGGGTGTGCCAATGTGCCATAAGTTCACACATTGCGACGTAGGGCGCGCCAAACTTCCCGCACTCCATCACACCGTCCTTTCTTACCGGGGGCATAAATTAATGGCGCCGAAAGCTGCGCTAAACACCCGGCAATGCACAACATCGTCCGATGCCGAATAGTACGCGATTGCACCGCGTGTCGCGCAATAGAAAGGACCAAGTACTGGGCACTCTTTCAGATCGTTGCCAGTTGCGACAACTGCGACACAATTGCGCCATAGGTCGTGCCGCCCGCACTCTACGGATGTGTCCGTCACTCATTGGTTGCGCCATTGTGTCATAAGTTGCGGCGCACATTGCAAAAAAGCACCGCGCAATCAACAAACCCGTCTATTTCATTATTGGCTACACTATTGTATCATAGGTTGCGTCATAGGTGACGCAATGCTCCCCCTGCAATCGACCGAACCGAGATTTAATTAGCAGTTGCACCATTTCACCATGGGTTGCGCCAGAAGTTGGGCCAGGCACGCAGCAATCTACCGAATCATGCGTCCCATTATTGTTCGCAACGTTGTACCATCTGTAAACTGCTCCATGGGTACGGCCGAAATGTAGCAAATTTGCCTGCTGCGCCAAATCTTGCGCCAAAGGTTGCAACAACGATTGCGCCACATGTTGCGACATGCACTGCGCAACATACCACATCGTCTGCTACAATATTGGGTGGAGTATCGCGCAATCGGTTGTCTCGTGGGCCCCTCCATTCACGCCAAAATCTAGCATCCTGTAGGTTGAATTTGACTTTTACTTCTGCGCTTCACGTTCCGCATGGCGTCCCGCAACTTGCACGAAGTGGCCATCTGTTGCACCATCGGTTGCGCCAAGCTCTTTGCAACTTACTACATCGTGTGTCCCAATATTGGTTGCAATATTGCGTACCCTATTGCCCCACTAGAAAACTTACCAAACCACATGTTCCATTATTGCATGCACGATTGAATCATACCTTGAACTATCGGTTTCGCCGAACTTCACGTAATCAAACAAACCGTCCGTTTCATCATTGGTTGGATTACTGGGACGTAAGTCGTGCATCACATTGCGCACAACACCTCGCAATCCGCGACACCGTGTATTCCATTATTGTCTGCGCATCCAGCGATTTCAAAAAAAACCTTGCAGCATTCGTTTTTTTTTCTCATGAAACAAACCACACGCATTCTTTGGGCCAACAACTTACTCCGCCCCCCCCCCAACAAAAAAATAGCCCCACACGGAAAATGTGCCAGGGGGTAGAACCGATTAGGAAACACTGGCCGCAGGGAGACAGCAGCATGTAATACCGCTGGAAGGTGGGTGGGCAGAGGAAGTGCAGATAACACGGATCTAGAGGAGCAAAAAAAGAGAGAGAACGTGCTCTACGCGGGCAAAACGAAGGGGTCGGAAGCATGACCTTCCCCCTCTGCGCGGCTGGAGCAAGTCCAGAACAGGAGGACCCACCCACCCGACGACGCCGACGACGAGGACAGCGTGCCAGACGCCCTGAACACGAGGCAAGGGGAAACGAGAGTGAGTACATTTGGACGCCCGAGATGGGCACGGAGAAGATGGGTACGATGCCCAACAACAGATGCCGTCCAAAGCGATAGTGACCGCGACCGCTCTTGGGCAGGCGGTCTTCCGCCTCGAATGGACAGCGTTCGCGGCGACACCGACAGCAAGCCCTGTTCAAAAGGTTGGCGGCGCAAACAGGGGGTGGGGGGAGGGAGGGAGGCTTCTTAGAAAGAAGCTGCTTCTTAGAAGGCGCCGGCCTTACATCCTCAGGCAAGGCCCGCGCCGTCTGAGAAGCAGGGTGCTTCTCAGCCTCCTCTCCGTCCCCCTTTTTCGGCGGTGGACAAGCCTCCCTTCAGTAAACCTCCCCTTGGTGAAAACAGCCTAGGACCGAAACCGACGGACCTGGACCCGCAAAAATGACGGCCGCGACGCCCTCTCGCGAACCTGGGACGGCCAATTCGCTAATCGACGCGTCAGGGTAGGAGGCCTACCACCCTCGGACTTTCTCCCCCTCAGCGCGTGACTGACAAGGAGCGAATCATGCCGTCGGCCTTCGTGCCCACTTGCGCGGGCCGTGCCCGGAGGCGCTCGGAGCACCTCGGCGGCTGATCGGCGGCTCCTCGGCGGTGCCCTCGGCGGCCCTTGGCGGCGGCCTTCGGCGGCGGCCCTCGGCGGCGGCCTTCGGCGGCCCTAGGCGGAGGCCCTCGGCGGCGGCCCTCGGCGGCGGCCCTCGGCGGCGGCCCTTGGCGGCGGCCTGCGGCGGCGGCCCTTGGCGGCGGCCCTCGGCGGCGGCCCTTGGCGGCGGCCTTCGGCGGCGGCCCTTGGCGGCGGCCTTCGGCGGCGGCCTCGGCGGACGAGGAAGGTGGGGAGGAGGACCGAGAATTAAGTCGGGCCTGTCCCCCCACAGGGGGATTTTCGACGAAAAATAAAGAATACCCCGAACATAATCCAATACTACTCCAAAAATAGTCTGGGGACTATGTTTGGGGTATTTGGTTGACCTCCTTGGAGTATTTGTGAGTATTTTTTTTTTTATTTCTCGTCGGAACTCCCCCTGTAGGGGGACACGCCCGACATAAACCGAGGAGGAAATCCCAATCGTGCAGGGCCCGCTCGCCGACGGGGCCGGCTGCACGGGGGGCCCACTGCGGGGAGCAGTGCGCGCCACACGGGGCGCCCCGCAATGGGGGGTGACGCGGCGGAGAAACTACGCGGCCAGGGACTTCTGCCCAGCGTGTCGCGACGGCGGCCCCGGAGACACGCCCTGGCCATCGCTCGGACGTTCATTCCCTGTGCATGTTTCGGTTTCGCGCGTGGCTTGTTCGCCAAATGATCGAGGATGCTCCTCTATGGCCCTCGCCGAAGGAAAAATGCACACGTCCGAGCGATGCCAGGCGCCATGCCCTCCGAGCGGATGGCGTGCCGCTCCGCTCCGCGGGGCGGGAGGCTGCAAAAGGCCCAGGGCGTTGACGCGCGGTGAGCGCGTCGCGCCGCAGCGCGGTGGGCAGAGCCGGCAGAGCGACGCGCTGAGCACAGGGTCTTGACCGCAGGGAGCTCGCCAAAGAGGCACGGGTGGGGAAGCATCTTTTCGAAACCACGCGCGCCCCCTCGAGCGCTGCGCCGAGCAGCCCGCGAAACATGGGGGAAGCGAGCCGTCCTCGCCGCCGTCGGAGGACAGGGCCCCCGGGCTTGGCGAACCACGCCTCCCCGCACGGGTGAACCGGTGAGGGCCCTCGTTTTGGAGGCCTGGAAATTAGCACCAACACCAACACAGGGGAGTGCCTCCACAGGGGGAAGATGATCCTAGATGTTGGTGTTGGTGGTAATATTTCGGTCACCCTGGAAGCCAGAATATTACCACCATCACCGAGACCGGGATCTTCTTCCCTCGGTGGAGGCACACCGCCCATAATTGGTGTTGGTGTCCATCTCTAGGCCTGCGATCGTTGTTCCAGAACCCCGCCGACAGGACGGGGACACAGTGCCCTCCCCGAGCACGCCACACGCAACACGTGTGAGGCGTGTCCCTCCAGAACTGCACGGATGTCGGCACTGAAGTGGGCCCCGGCGCGGGTCTCCGACACCCCGGCGTCGATGGCACCCGCAGGGGGGGGGGTTCGCGAGTGGCCACAAAAGCAGAGAGGAAGATGAGGAGGAGGAGGAGGAGGAGGAGGAGGAGGAGGAGGAGGAGGAGGGAGGAGGAGGAGGAGGAGGAGGAGGAGGAGGAAGAGGATGCGGAGCTGGCGATCACAAAAAGGGGTCTGTGTGCAGCGGCCCAACAGATCCCGAGTCCGGACCACAGAAGCCGAGCAAGCAATGTGGTGCGGATCGGATGTGCATGGTGGCCCCGCATGAGCGCCCAGACGCCTGACGGCTCGACCTTCGTCGAGACGCAGGCCCCCCGACCTCGTCGACGCTTGACGGGCACCCGCTCCTCATCCCGAGTCGTGGCTGGACGATCCGTGGGCGCGACACAGACGCCCCCAAAGTCCCCAAATGACGAACCAATGCCCGTCTGGTGTTTTGCCCGAGACGCTGGATATCCGGGCGGCCAGAAAAAAAAGGAAGCACCACACCTCGCACACAATCTGTAAACATACACGGTCGGAGGTCCGCGCGGAGTTCTTGGACCTCCGCTGGACGCCCACCCTGGGGCGACGCCGGAGGGGCCGCCGGGGGGGGCCCGGCGCCGATCCAAGAAGTCCGTGCGGAGCTCCCAACAGTTATGGTCATGTAGCTCTCTCTTCCTCGGCAGGATGAGCGTGCCCCCGCGCCTTGTAGCGGACGCGCTTGGGCTCAAGAAGCTGCACCCTGGACAGCCCAGCGCCGTCGCTGTACCTGTGCGTGGCATGCTCCCGCGATCGCGCGTTCTTTTTCCCCAGGGGAGGAGGAGGCGGCAGAAGCGTCTGGGCAGGGCAACCTCCTCGGGTTGACGTAACCCCCCCCCCATCGGGCAATGAACAAAGAAAGACTCTTATGGTTTTCGCTGATATCGGCCTCTGGGGACCCCCTCCAGGCCTTGAGCCCGTCAAACAACGACTCGGGCTGAAAAGCCAGTCCCAGGGAATTGGTGCAAACCTCTGGTGACCCACGTTATGAAAAAAACACTTCGGGGGTCCAGGAATGCTGGGTAAGACCGGATGAAGTTAGAGGAACACCGCCGTGGACCGCCGCTTCAGGGGGGGAACATCAGCCTCAAGCAAGGTTCGCTTCATGACCACACCTTGGGCTAAACCCCCTCTGCGTTCCCACGACTTCCCGTCGTCTACGATTCCAGTGATCCAGGGTTGGGGTCTGCGCAGATCCACCGCTTTGGGAACCAATATCCCAGGACCTCGTGAGACAGGGCCGGTGGATAATGATATAGGGGTGCCCAAAGATATCCACAGTCACCGCCGCCTCGGTTGCTGGAAATGTGGGGTGTGGACGAATTGCTGACTGTGGACGTACTGCCAGACTTGGAGTGGGGGGGGGCCGCGGGAGCCGTGCCGACCAAGACCCAGCAGATTCTGGCAGACGTCTGCCTCCGCCCCGTCCCCTCCCCTCCAGGGCAAGGGGCGCGCGGTCGTACAGAAGGAGCTCGACCAAGAGGAACACTTCCACAAGAAACCCAACCCTGAGACCCCAGGACATCCTTTGATTTTCAGTGTGGGAACGTCGCGCTGCCCATAGCGGAACCATCGAGACCCAAGAAACCCAAGGCACCCTGTAGGCAAGCAGGGTGCTTCTTGGCAAGGGTCCCCACTGTATGTCAAGGGTGTCAACTGCCAAGTGGGCAGCTTCTGATTTCGTGCACCACCTGCGCTTACAGACCTCCGCTCCAGTGGATTAAAAAAGAACGGCCGCCAGTAGGTTCGTGCACCAGCTGCGCTTACAGACCCCCGCTCCAGTGGATTAAAAAAGAAAGCCGCCAATGGGAGTACAGGGGCAGGCCAGAGAAAGATGGCGCTGGAGGGCTGGACCAGGAGAAGAGACGCGTCTCGAGCGCCCTCTGAGAGCAGCAGTGTCACAGTCACCCCCCTTAAACATAAAGATGCGGCCCATCCCTCTCCTGCTTCACCACCTAGTCTTCCGCGACGCCCGCGCGACGTTTGTCGACGGCTGGCTGAGTGCCACGCTCCAGCTCGCAGCCCCATGACATCGATACGATGCAGCCTGCACGCCTGCGAACTGCTACAGATCTGGCGGGCGAGGGGTGCGGGTCAGGTCCCGTCGCGCGTGGAGGCCGCGCGCGCCCCACATGTGGAGACGGCGGTTGGAAACAAATGCCATACTACACACCCCTCTGAGTAGCGATGTCGCTGGCAAGCTACTGCGAAACCATGAGGTCGACGAAATCGGACCTTGCCAAATGAAAAAGTTTCTCGGTGACCAGGGGGGGCCTCCCGCTTACTCGCGACAGGGCCCGACCCGCGCAGGGCGAATGCTGCCCACGCCCGAGGAGCTGGAGGAAGACCAAATCCTTCGCCCCTTGCCGCATGTCGGACCGCGCTGGTCTCGCCTGGCGCTCCCCCTCCTGCTCCTCCTCCTCCCCCTCCTTCTGCTCCTCCTCCTCCTCCTCCTCCTCCTCCTCCTCCTCCTCCTGCTCCTGCTCCTCCTCCTCCTCCTCCTCCTCCTCCTCCTCTCGCGTTTCCCCAAGCCCCCCCCCTCCTCCTCCTCCTCCTCCTCCGCCTCCTCCTCCTCCTCCCGCTCTGGCCTCTCCCCTGCCCTCCCGCCCCCGCCCCTCTCTGCTGCTGCTGCTCCTCCCCGGGGCCCGGCGCACTCGGCCCGCGCGGCGAACCAGGCCGCCACCTCGGCCTCGGGGAAGTCCGAGAGCACGTCCCAGCGCAGCCTCGGGCCGTGGGCGAGGACTCAAAAGGGAGCAGGAGGTGCGAGGGAGAGGAGCGAGTGGGCACGACTTGATTGGGGGGTGATAAATGGGGGGGGGGGGGGGAGAAAGGTGCCCCTTTCAGGCCCTAAGGGCCCTCTTTGGGGCCCTAAAGGGCCCCTTGAGGGGCCCCCTCTCTGCAGCCCTCGCTGCCCCCGCGTATGCGTCGCCCCCCCCCCCCCCCCACCACGCGCCCCCCACGGCGAGGAGGCGGAGCGCCTGCCGGGGGACCGGCGCGCATGCTGTAGGAGGCGGCTGCCAACCTGCCCGCGGCGGAGCGGAGGGCGTGCTGGCACTCAGACTCGCTCTCCTTGGCAGGTCGGGCGTCAGATACGAGGCCCAAGGCTCTCGGAATGGACGGCCCGAGAACAGGCCCGGGGCCCGGGGCGTTCGGAAGAGGCCGCGCCGCGCCGCGCCTGGACGGGTGGAACGCCCCACCGTCGCCCCAAGGCAAGATGACGCTTCGGCCCGCCACCGCCCAGGGGGCAGCTCCCTCGTCGATGGGTTCTTGGTGGCGGTGGTCCGTGTTCCTGGCCTGATTTGAAAGATCTGAGAGCAGCCGGGCGACCCCCCGCGGAGTCCGACATTCCAGCGGCGATCGGAGTCGCGGGGGTGGGGCTCGCAAGTGGTCGCAGAGCTGAGGCCCAGGATCAGCAACCGCCTCCTCTATTCTCCCCAAGCTAGCAAGCCTCGCGCAGCTCTGATCGCGATCGGCCATCCACAAGGCAAAAGACATCTCCGATCCAAGGAAGCGCGCCACGGTGGCAGCGATCGGCAAGCGAACAACCACCACCGGAGCCACCATGGGCAATCGGGTCGCCCAGGGGCAGCAGCGGCGGTGCTGCCCGTGAGGCTTCCACGAGCCGCAACAGACGGGCGAAACCCAACGAAGGCCGTTGCCGACGCAAAGACAGCTCGAACTCGACGGAGCTCCTTGACGTCGACGCCCCGGCCAACAGCGAGGACAGGCTACGTGTGCGAACAAGGCCTACGCACATCTCTCAAGCTCGTGAAGCGACCAGCAATTGTGAGATGGACCTGGAAGGCTAGACCGCAGAGAAGGGCACTGTTTCACCTCATCCCGTTCAGCCTCTTACTCCTCCTTATGGTCGTCGTTGGGAGGACCAAGACCTTTGGAGCCCGAATCTGAGAAAAGCGAGGCTTCATCGGCCACCACTCTGGTCAATGGTCAGCAGCCAGGAGATTGGTAACTGCACCCCATGGCCCTGCCCCTCCTCTCGGACAGGGCCAGGACGGATGTAAATCCGTGCTGGAGCGATCCGGAACGCTCTGGAGCGCGACCGATACATCTTCGGGAACCGCCGGATCTCAGAGACTCTCGATTTTATCTCATCCGAATTTTTCCTCGTCCTGGTTTCGTCGTCTCCTCATCCCCCAAGGTGCCCCTGAATCTGTCGGGCGCCTCAGGAAAGACGTCACGTCCGCCTGGGACATTGTTCCGTCGCCCTTGTCCGGATCCAGCCTGGCAGCGGGGAGGGCGAGCAACGGTGAAAGCGTGAGACGCGTGTACCAGATCGGAGGGCAGGGGGGGCGATGAGGGGAAAGCGAAGATGGATATGGAGGAGAAAAGCGCAACTCGGGGGTGTGCGATCAGGGGGCGACGGGCGACTACAATCAAGAACGAATTAAAGGGAGGAGGAATCGAAGAGGGAGCAAGAGCAGCTATTCTGCATCTGTGGTAGCCCAAAACATTAGCCATTGACATGCTCGTAGCAGCTAGTCAGTAACATCACAACTTGAGTGTAGCATCTCCCACACCCTACATGGGAAGTGGTAGGGGAGTCGCGATGCCCACATTCAGACCAAATGTTCAACAATTCACAATTTGGCCTATTGCAGTATCATGTCGGTTCTCTTTACGAATCAAACCACCCTTGCGGCATAAGACCCTGCACAGCACTACGCAGTTACGATGGGGGCCTCAGCAGGGGGGTCAACATGGGGGGCCACGATGTAGGGTCACGACGGGGGATCTGAATAGGGTTAGCGGCAAGGACACAGGGCTAGGGATGCATGGATAGGGATACCGATGGGGATCCAGAGGGAAGCAGACATAGGGATATCATATCTCGAGAATCGACCCCTCGCTGCTCACGAATATATGGTATGCGACGCACTGCTGGGGCAACCGATGCCCACACAACAGCCAACAGCATATAGCCTTACTTCCACCGCGCGCACAGTACTAGTTGGTCAGCTGTGTGGCTGCAAGCCGCTATGCGGAAGGACAACCCGGCATTGCGCGTTCGAGGCCTCGCAAGTGCCAAAGCCAATCGCTCACCACGTATAGGAGAGTACGCGATAGACCTACGAGAACCATGGATCTTACAATGCGCAGGAGTTCCCAGACGCACGCATAAAGCATTCAGGAAGGGCAAGATGGGAACGGAGCCAGAAACACACGGAGGAGAGAGGAAGGGGACATACATTTAAGAGCTTTAGCGCCGAGCGCTACGTATGCGGGACAGAACACCGCGATGCGTTCTGCAGCAGAACAGCGCGCCACGCTAGGCAAGGCAAGCGCACGGGGCTGCATGGCGGGCCAGAAGCAGCTGAGGATGTGAGGCCACGAGGACTAAAAGACAGCGTCATGCGCTGCGTGGCGCAGCAGTTCCCTGCGAACTGCGATGCGACAGCGCAGAGCACTGCGTGACGGGACAACGCCGCGTAATATGAGAACTCCTGCCATTTTGGAAGCGAGTAGCCTCCGTCAATTGCATCTCTCGTCGGCGCACGCGCTATCGGGGCGTTGTCGACAACTACCCCGAACTCGCCTGACACCGCAGGCAGCCCATTAACCTGACGACAAATACGCACTTCGCAGCCCCACCCCAAGGGAGCCGCGAATTCTGGACGGGATCTGCGTGACTACCGACTCCACCGGACCCCCCCTGAATTGCACGAAAATGGCGACAGTCGCGCCCCTCGCAACCCCCCAGGGAGCCGCGGAATCTTGGCATCTCCACACCACTACCTTCCGCTGGACCTCCCCAGGAGCCCACGAAAGTGACGACAATTTCACACTTCGCAGCCCCCATGACGCCGCGAGGTCTCAACTGGATCCCCGCGTAACGCCACTTCGCTGGACCTCCCAGGAGCCCACGAAAGTGGCGACTGTCTCACACTTCGCAGCCCCCCAGGGAGCCATGAAGTCTCAGCTGGGTCCTCGTACAACTCCACTCCGCGCGACCTCCCATGAGCCCACGAAAGTGGCGACTGTCTGCCGCGAGGTCTCAACTGGGTCCCCGTACAACTCCAATCCGCGCGACCTCCCAGGAGCCAACGAAAGTGGCGACAATTTCACACTTCGCAGCCCCCCCAGGACGCCGCGAGGTCTCGACGGGATCCCCTTGCAACTCCATTCCGCTGGACCGACATCCCATGAGCCCACGAAAATGGCGACAATTTCACGCTTCGCAGCCCCCCAAGGAGCCGCGAGGTCTCAACTGGGTCCCCGTACAACTCCCCTCAGCGCGACCTCCCAGGAGCTCACGAAAGTGGCGACAATTTCAGACTTCCCAGCCCCCCAGGGCGCCGTGAGGTCTCAACTGGATCGGAGGTGAGGGGGTGAGATCGAAGTGGAACGGAGAGCCCCCCTACCAGAAAATCGGTTTCGGTTTCGTGTTCGTGCGTGCCGTGCGTGAGGGCGAGGCGAAGCTGCGTGGGCGGGCGAGAAGAAAATCTCCTCCGGCCGAGGCGCGGCCGGACCAAATGATTCTTTTACGGGGGCCGGTGGCCCGCGGTGTCCCGCCGGTGTCCCGCCTCTAGCTGAGGCGCGGCCGGACCAAATGTTTCCTTTCCGGGGGCCGGTGCCGCGCGGTGTCCCGCCGGTGTCCCGCCAGTGTCCCGTCGGTGTCCCGGTGATGATGATGATGACGATGATGTTGATGTTGATGATGATGATGATGATGATGATGATGATGATGGTGATGATGATGGTGCCCCGATGATGAAGATATTGTTGACGATGCTGATAGTGATGATGATGGTGATGGTGGTGATGATGATGGTGTCCCGAAGATGATGTTGATGATGTTGCTGGTGATGATGATGGTGTCCCGATGATGATGATGATGCTGATGATGATGATAGTGATAATGATGGTGATGATGATGATAAAGAGATGATGATGAGATGATGAAGATGATGATGAAGATGATGATGGTGAACAGATGATGACGATGATGATGATGATGATGATGTTGATAATGATGGTGATGGTCATGCTGTCCCGATGACGATGATGTTGATGATGAGTGCGAGAATGGTGTCCCGATGATGATGATGCTGATGACGAGGAATAGGATGAGATGATGGTGATGATGTTGATAATGATGGCCCGATGATGGTGATGATGCTGATGCTGATGTTGATGATGCTGATGGTGTCCCGATGATGATAATGGTGGTGATGATGATGGTTGCGATGCAGATGGTGTCCCGATGATGATGATGCTGATGATGATGATTACGTTGCTGATGTTGATGGTGTCCCGATGATGCTGATGTTGATGATGTTGTTCGTGATAATGATGATGAGATGATGATGATGGTGCCCCGATGATGATGTTGATGATGATGATGATGATGACTATGACTGTGTCCCGATGATGATGGTGATGATGATGGTGATGCTGATGATGGTGATGGGGTGATGGCGATGATGATGGTTTCCCGATGATGATGGTAATGCTGATGACGTTGATGACGATGATGTTGATGATGATGATGACATTGATTGTGAGATCGATTGTGATATCGATAGTGAGATCTATAGTGAGACGGAATGTGGGATCGATTGTGAGATCGATAGGGAGATCGATTGTGCGATCGATAGTCAGATCGATTGTGAGATCGATCGAATGAAATAGATCGAGTGAGATCGATTGTGAGATCGACCGAGTGAGATCGATCGAGCGAGACCGATAGTGAGATCGATAGTGAGACCGATCGAGTGAGACGTTGGTTCCTCCCCCCCCCGAACCTCCTTATCACTCGAAGGGTGGTCGTATAGGTACCTGTATAACTTCCCTCAGCGAGACCCCACAGGAACCCACGAAAGTGACGACAATTTCACACTTCGCAGCCCCCATGACGCCGCGAGGTCTCAACTGGATCCCCGTGTAACGCCACTTCGCTGGACCTCCCAGGAGCCCACGAAAGTGGCGACTGTCTTACACTTCGCAGCCCCCCAGGGAGCCGCGAGGTCCCGACGGGATCCCCGTGCAACTTTATTCCGCTGGACCGACATCACAGGAACCCACGAACATGGCGACTGTCTCACAATTCGCAGCCCCCAGGGAGCCGCAAGGTCTCAACTGGGTCCCCGTGCAACTCGGCCCCGCGCGACCTCCCAAGGAGCCCACGAAAGTGGCGAGAGGTTCGCAGTTCGCAGCCCCCCAAGGAGTCGCGAGGTCCCGGCTGCGTGTGCGTGCAACTCCACTCCGCGCGGCCTCCCAGGCGCCCACGAAGGTGGCGACAATTGCATGCTTCGCAGCCCCACAGGGAGCCGCGGGGTCTCAACGGGGCTGCGGCGCAAGCAGGACGCAGTCGAGGAGAAGAAGAATGCAGTGTCTGCGTGTCCCCCCACTCTGCAGGCTCCCCCAGGAGGCAGGACGAAGGAGGCAGGAGGAGGAGGAGGAGGCAAGAGGGGAAGGAGGAGGAGGAAGGTTGGAGAGCGCAGTGCTGTGTTCAAAACGAGAACCCGATGCAGGAGGGTTGTGAAATAATGCTGCAGGCGCGCCGCTGCGTAACTGCCAGTGCGCGAAACCACGACATCGTAACGCGTTGACGCGAGTCACGCCCGCATGACTTGCTCACACGCGGCTCTTTCGGTAGAGCAATTGGTTAGCCCGTGGTGCCCAATGCGGCGCGGGACTGACCAAGACGACATAATCAGGTGGTAAAGTTGAATTTCCATCGTGCATGCGACTGACGGCAAACAAGTTGCCTGGGTCGAGGGGCAACTTCACACACGCAGAGCTGAACATCGTGCCACAACCAAAGAATATGATGTTTGGGCCACCGTGGGATCCCCTTCTCCCCTCATATCCAACTTTCTTTTACATGTATAACTCATGGCCGATATGATATATCATTCTGGAGAACGGACAATGCGGAATCTGTGAGACTCCTTACACGGTGCGTCATTCATTAAGAATGCGCCGTGACATACGGTCCCGTCGCGACCGACACGAAGTGAGGTTAGCTAACAACTTCGCTGAAAACCCGAGCCTGAGATATTCTAACGTCCCCTGGTCTTTCAAGCGCACCTAAACGCAACTGTAGCCATTCGAGGCCGAAAAGGCTCGGCACCTTGACGAGATCTGATGGCTGTCGCATGTCAGTGGATGAGGGTATCCGACTCATTTAGACTTACTGATAGCGGTCGTTATTGTCGATCTTGGTCGCATCAGTGTGCGCTGGCAAAACCACAACGAAATTGCAATCGAACCGCTCCGTGTGCCTCTGTCGATGAGACCATGATTGTGATTGCGGGGGTCGGCGAACTCTTGCAAGTGCGGATGCCGTTTTGACAACCAGACCCATCCTTGGATACGGCACCTGGAGCTGTTACCTGGCCATCTTCTGGCCAAACCAACTCCGCAATGGCCAGGGCCAGTCAGGCGAGGATCATTACGACAAGGAGCACGTGCACGAGCAGGAAGGGGATGGGGAGGCGGACGAAATGAGCAAGTCGACCATAGAGACGCCCGGACGCACAGGGGCCGATACCGCTCGGAAGCGCCCCGCTCAAACACCACAGCAGGGCCGGAAGCCAGCAGCAAAGCCAACAGAAAACGTCACGAAGATGAACACCGCACCGCCCTGCGCCAGCTCTTGCGGGCGCACCCGAACACATCACAGAAGCAGCACTTGCGTCACCGACACCACCCGGAGGGGAGGAGAAATGGATAATCTGGGCTGCGGCAGCTCAATTCCGCGAGAGGATAGCCCAACCCCCCGACGTCATGGTTTCGCAAACCATCCCGTGATGCTGGGTCCTCGCTGTGAAGAGTTAGCGCTGCCCCGTGTCTTCCTCGTCCTCCTCCTCCTCCTCGTCCTCCTCCTCTTCCTCATCCTCCCCCCTTCTTACTCCTCCTATCAGCGCCTCTGCCCTCCGCACGACCATTCTGGCACACCCCTCACACGTATCGCGGCTCCACACGGAGCTCCACCGAATGTCCCAGTGCCACTGTTCGCATGCGTCTCCCCTGCCCGCTACGGCACACCCCTCACACGCTTCGTGGATCCATACGGAGCTCCACCGAAGGTCCCAATTGCACAATTCGCATGCGGTTCCCCGCCCATGTCGGCACACCCCTAACACGGTTCGTGGCCCCATACAGAGCTCCACCGAAGGTTCCAATTGCACATTTCGCATGCGCCTCACCTACCAATTTCGACACACTCTTCACACGTTTTGCGGCCCCCCGCCGAAGGTCCCCATGCCACCGTTCACACGCGTCCCCCCACCCACTACGGGACGGCCCGCACATGGTTCGTGGCCCATAGGGTGCGTCACCGAAGGTCACAATGGCACAGTTCGCATGCGTCTGCCCCGCCTGCTACGGCGCACCCTTCACAAGTTACGTGGGTCCCCATGAAGCGCCAACGCACGTCCCAGTGGCACACTTCGCACCCCTCACACGGTCCATGGCCCCATAAGGAGCTCCACCCAAGGTCCCACTACCACCGTTCACACGCGTCCCCCCCGCCCATCACGGCGTACCCCTGACACGCTTTGTGTCCGCACAGGAAGCTCCACCGAATGACCCAATGCCACCGTTCGCATGCGTCTCTCCTGCCCGCTACGGCACACCCCTCACACGCTTCGTGGCCCCAGCATGAGCTCACCAAAAGGCCCCAATGCCACCGTTCGCATGCGTCTCCCCGGCCTATTGCGGCGCACCCGGGCGACGAGGACGACAGGATGCAGAAAAGCAAACAGTGTCAGGATGACGAGACTGGAGCGGACGACCACGAGAATGCAATGCCAATAATACATCGCGGCTGGCGAGCCCACTCAGCTGGAGCTCCATGTCCTCCTTGTGGTTCTCCAATATATTCGCAACTTGCGTGTACACCTTAGGAGCGACCGAGCGGTCCGTGCAACTTCCCCGAACTTTGAGCCGATCCTTGCGTTCAGAACCGCACACCGGGGGGGGGGCGGCAAGCTCAACCTGAGGATCCCAAGGCCGCTGCTGCCATCGACTTGTGTCCCCGCAGGTTTTCGAACGGGAAAACATGGTGTCTTTTCCCCGATTAGGCTCATAACCCCATTACCGCGTCACCGTTATCATCCTTCCTTCCGTCCCGCTTCCAGCTCCTGACCTCAATCCTTGGTTTCCTCATCCCACCCTCCCCATCCTGCTCCTCGTGCCTTCCCTGCTCTTCCACTTGCCCACCCCTTCCAGCGCCCCGCCTGCTCAATCCCTGCTCCCGATGTAGAACTGCTCCTCGCCTGGCCACGATGCGTGTCGATAGGGCGGGCACGGTGTTTCCCCTGGTACTCCCCCACAGTGCAGGATCCTCATGGCGCGTGTTTTTTCGCCCTAGCGCCGAGCAGAACCGTGTCAAAGCTTGCAACAATCACATGGTCGGACGTCGGGCCGTTTTCAATATTGAAGTCGCGCCATAGCACCGCTCGCGTTCGCCCTGAACTCTTGCAACAGCTCCAAAGATGCAAGGCGGCTCCTTTGTCAAAGCGGGACTCTCGCCTGAGCGCGGCGCACATTCGCATGACATCTCACAATAATGGCGAGGGTAGTGGGCGGCTCTGTTTGAACGTGAGGCTCTCTTTGTGGATGCCAGGACAATGGACACCCTAACAGTGAACTTGAAACGTGCTTAATATATAGGAAACACGTTCTGAACATGTTTCAAACATGCTGCTTTGCATGTGTAAAACATGTTTCACACATGCTTGAGACATTTGGGAAGTATTTGGCAACCTGCCTCCTCTCCATGGATCGCCCTCCACAACTGTGGAGCAAACCGCGCGCCTGAACACGCGTGGCAGCCTGCACGGGTGGAGGGCGGCCCCGTTTCACAAGTGTGCGCGCTCGCTGCACGCGTCCTCGGGAAGGCTGCGCACGAGCTCAACAAAACAACTGCAGTCGGACTCGGTTGGACAGGGCACGCGAGGGGACACGAGACCCTTCCGACGGCCACATCGCCATAGGAGTCTAAGAAGCAGGGCTCGAGTTAGACAGTGTTTTCCGTTTTCGTGTTGTGTTCGTCATCCCTAAGCCTGTATTCGTTCCACATTTGCTGCAAAACGAAGTCAAAACGGAAACGGTCCACGAAATTGCCAAAACACCGTTTAGCACAGGCCCTGCTAAGAAGGCACGTGTCGAAAGGCACAGGACACAAGGGTACCCTTGAGCTGACAGGGTCGACCTACTAATCAGGGGCCGTCTGTACACCTGGGAGCTGCCTCTTGTTCAGCACGGAGGTCTCTGTGGACACCCACTGCGACTGAATGGTCATACCCTGACGCGTGCAGTGCGACGCCTGAAGGATGCCAGGCAGCTCCTTTGGAAACGGATGCCCTCGCCTGAATGGAAGGCCCGTGTGGTGCTGGTCTTTCAAAGGGGGGCCTCTGTAGCGAAAGAGAAGGCTTGCAAGGAGAGGCGAACACAGAACTTGGGACGGGATGCTATGTAGCAGAATCGTTGATGCATCTTGGATGCTTGAATGTACTCTGGTCCTCCGCTTTCTCCTCCACCCCCACCTTTCTCTACATACGTAGTGTGTGTCTCCATCCGCCTGACCCATCCACTTCGTCATGCCTGCATTACTCCGCCCTGCCCCGCTTCGTCGTCCACATCATCCAGATGCTGCTTCCCCTTGGCTCCTCGTGTCCATGCCTCTCGCACGTCCGCCTGCTTTTCCTCGCCATCTTTCCCCCCCAACCCCTCAGAATTATGACAGACCCCCTGAGGCAAACAGCCCGTCATGGGCAAGCTCCCTTAGGATCAACGAGCTGATTTCTGTATGTATATATATATATATATACATATATACATATATATATATATATATTATATATTATATATATATATATATATATAATGTGTGTGTGATTGTGTGTGAGTGGGTGGGGGCACTGGGAGGGGGGCACAATTTACACGAGGTTGCCGCCCACTGCATGGGGGGGCGCTGTGAAGACCCACGCCGCTGCGAACACCCGTCCGTTTCGTCATCCTCCGGACTCTTCGTGTTCCCCCCCTTCCCGTTCCTCCCCATGTTTCTGCTCCTTCCGTGTCTCGCTCTGTCATGTTTTATCGACTATCCTCTCCTCATCTCACCCATTCTAGCACAACGATGCCCCTCGTACTAAAAACCACATGTCGTTCCTCTGCCGCGGTCAAACAATGGCCAAAGTCCGCTGCCACGGCCCTGCGATTGCACATATTGGCCCAGACAGGCTCCACATCATTGATGCTAAAGCTCCGCATCGTTGCTGCTTCCGCGCGGCGTCATTTATATCGGGTGGCATCTCCGCCACCGTGCCCCCCCTGGCAACGTGAACTGGAATCAATAAGAAGTGCTATCAGGTACCGTTACTGAAGATTTCTGAGTCCCCCCCATACCCACCGCCAGACGCACACTCACTCACTCACTCATTTACTCACACACACACGCGCGCCCCCATCCTTGATCCTTATTATTATTATTATTATATACCCCCCACCTACCTCGTAGTCCGGCCGATAGCGACCCAATCCGGGACCTCCCATCCAGACTGTGAACATGATGGACCCACGAACCCGGAAAGGGATATAGACATGTGGAGCATGGGCACGTTTTCACGATACCCAACGGGGCAACACCTCACGAAACATCCCACGAGACACCTCACGAAACAACACCCACGAGACACCTCACGAAACATTCCGCGAGACACCTCACGAAACATTCCACGAGACACCCCGCGAAACATTCCACGAGACACCCCACGAAACATTCCACGACGACAGGCAACCACTCAACCAAGGCGGTGTGGTCGTGCTGGGGAGTGGTCGTGCTGGGAGTGGTCGTGCTGGGGTGTGGTCGTGCTGGGGGGTGGTCGTGCTGGGGGTGGTCGTGCTGGGGGGGTGGTCGTGCGTGCTGGGGCGTGGTCGTGCTGGGGCGTGGTCGTGCTGGGGCGTGGTCGTGCTGGGGTGTGGTCGTGCTGTGGTGAGGTCGTGCTGGGGTGTGGTCGTGCTGGGGTGTGGTCTTGCTAGGGTGGGGTCGTGCTGGGGTGGGGTCGTGCTGGGGTGGGGTCGTGCTGGGGTGTGGTCGTGCTGGGGTGTGGTCGTGCTGGGGTGTGGTCGTGCTGGGGTGTGGTCGTGCTGGGGTGTGGTCGTGCTGGGGTGTGGTCGTGCGTGGTCGTGCTGGTCGTGCTGGGGGGTGGTCGTGCTGGGGTGTGGTCGTGCGTGGTCGTGCTGGGGCGTGGTCGTGCTGGGGCGTGGTCGTGCTGGGGTGTGGTCGTGCTGGGGGGGTCGTGCTGGGGTGTGGTCGTGCTGGGGTGGTCCGCACCCTGTGATTCATCGATCGGGTCGTGCTGGGGTGTGGTCGTGGTGGGGTGTGATCGTGGTGGGGTGTGGTCGTGTTGGGGTGTGGTCGTGCTGGGGTGTGGTCGTGCTGGGGTGTGGTCGTGCTGGGGTGTGGTCGTGCTGGGGCGTGGTCGTGCTGGGGTGTGGTCGTGCTGGGGTGTGGTCGTGCTGAGGTGTCCCGCACCCTGTGATTTATCGATCGGGATTTCAAAAACAAGCGTTTCGCCTGAGACATCCTCAAATTTTAATCCGTCGGCCTCCTTCGGCCTCGATATTTATCAGGGAAAGAATCCGCCGGCCTCCTTCAAGTTGGGCACGGAGACATTGTTTACATACTAAAAGGGAACCCTGGGCCTATGCCCTTTCCTGGAAAAATCAATGCGAAGTGGCCGTTGTTCGTCTTAACATCGTCTTTCCTGTCGTCGACAATGCGAAAAGCGTGGCAGGAATGGGACGCGGCGCACATCGCGCGTGGCAGTCAATCTGGGCCCGCCCATCCTGATTGTAAAAAATCAATACAACGTCGTCGTTTTTCCTTTCAGCATGGCCTGCCTTGTCGCCGACGGTGCGAAATATGTGACACCAATGGGACGCTGCGCACATATGGGACGCGGCGCGCATCGCGCGCGGCTGTCAATCCGGGCCCGCCCATCCTGATTCTAAAAAGTCAATATTTCCGTTTTTTCCTCTCAGCATGGCCTGCATTGTCGCCGACGGTGCGAAATATGTGGCAGGAGTGTGGCGCGGCGCACATCGCGCGCGGACGTCCATGCGGGCTGCGGGCCGTCCCATCCTGACTTTAGAAAATATTACAGAGTTGTCGTTTTTCCTTTCATCATGGCCTGTCTTGTCGTTGACGATGCGGAATGCGTGGCAGGAATGGGCCGCGGCGCACATCGCGCGCGGACTTCTGGGGCAACCCCAAGGCGGGAGGGACAACTTTACTTGTCAGAAACAATGCCGTGCTGATTTCCCCTGCCCACATAGCTGTTCTTATCGTCCACCCCGCAAAAGTGCATGGCAAGAATTGGGCGCGGCACGCCCCCCTGCCCCCCCGCTCGAAGTGAATGACATGACCTTCCCGCTTGGGCGCCAAGCGAAATTTTCTCAACGTTGCGCTCCCGTTTTGGCTCGGCGCACGTTTTTAGCTCGCCAATTCATTGGGCGCCGGGGCATTCCAGGAGGCCCTGGGAAGACGAATGCCTGGGAAGTTTTTGCTTGTTCAGGCTCTTGGAGGGCCTCCTGAGGCTCCCCGCGGCTTCTTGGCGCTACGGCCGTCTGGAAGCCATCTTGGGCGTCTTGGACCGATCTTTCGGCGACTCCGGGCTACCACTACTATTACTACTACTACTACTACTACTACTACTACTACTACTACTACTACTACTACTACTACTACTACTACTACTACTACTACTACTACTACTACTACTACTACTACTACTACTACTACTACACTACTACTACTTACTACTACTACTACTACTACTACTGCTACTACTACTACTACTACTACTACTACTACTACTACTACTACTACTACTACTACTACTACTACTACGTACTACTACTACTACACTACTACTACTACTATACTACTACTACTACTACTACTACTACTACTACTACTACTACTACTACTACTACTACTATACTACTACTACACTACTACCTACTACCCACTACGCTACTACTACTACTACTACTACTACTACTACTACTACTACTACGACTACTACTACTACTCTACTACTACTACTACTACTACGACTACTACTACTACTACTACTACTACTACTACTACTACTACTACTACTACTACTACTACTACTACAGTTACGAATACTACTACTACTACTACTACTACTACTACTACTACTACTACTACTACTACTACTACTACTACTACTACTACTACGACTACTACTACTACTACTACTACTACTACTACTACTACTACTACTACTACTACTACTACTGCTACTACTACTACTACTACTACTACTACTACTACTACTACTACTACTACTACTACTACTACTACTACTACTACTACTACTACTACTACTACTACTACTACTACTACTACTACTACTACTACTACTACTACTACTACTACTACTACTACTACTACTACTACTACTACTACTACTACTACTACCACTACGCGCCAGCACCCAGTTGCGCCAGCATTGTTTCTTATGTTGTGGGAGGGCGGAACGTGTCCGTTGTTCCTTTCAACATGGCCAGTCTTGTCGTCGACGATGCGAAATGCGTGGCGGGAATGGGACGCGGCGCACATCCCGCGCGGACGTCAATGCGGTGTCCTGGGGTATCCTCCACTCGCACTGAAATGCCCGCGCAGCCCCCAGTTGTGCCATCACTGTTTCTTATGTTGTGGGAGGGCGGGTGGGAATGGGCATGCCATGCTTGACTCGCTCGAGCTGGCTAGCTTGACCCCCACCCCAACCCCCACCCCCACCCCCTCCCACACCCACCCCCACGCCCACGCCCAAGCCCACGCCCACGCCCACGCCCGCGCCCACGCCAACGCCCACGCCCACGCCCACGCCCACGCATACGCACACGCACACGCACACGCATACGCACATGCACATGCACATGCACACGCACACGCACACGCACACGCACACGCACACGCACACGCACACGCACACACAAACACAGACACACACACGGACACGCTGACAGACGGGCCTCTCCGATGGCCAAAGTACCCTGACCGGCTTCTGCAAGATTTGCCGAATACCGGACATCACCGTGATTCAGCCACTTTTCAAAATCAAGCCACAGCCCATGCCATACTAGTCAGCAATGCCCCCCCCCCAGTATGAGGAACTTTCTGGGAAGTCCCGGGTGTATGTATATGTATGTATGACGCGCATATGCATTTACTATGTGCATATAAGACACGACGATGGCCACAGTAATTGCGCAGCGGGCGTACTGAATGGCCTTGAAGAAGACGGGGCGGACCAAAAGGCGCAGGGAGATGACGAGGAGGATTCGACTCGCTTAACGCCCCGGATTCAAGGATCATCGTCAACGCGCGTGGGAGTAAGGGAAGGAGAGACTGTGTCGTTGCTTGCCCTCTCGAACCGTTCGAAAGGACCACGGCGACGAGAGGAACCTAACATGATTGTCCCGCTTGGTCTGCCGCGGCCAACGACCTTTCATCTGGTACTTCCACGCCGCGCGCCCTGCTACAACGTCTCCAACCGTGGAGAGGAGGCCTGCGATTTTGTTTGTGGGCGCAGACTAGGGTCAAGCGCTAGCTCCTGGGCAACTACAACAAGATGCGATGAGAAGGGGATCGGCGACGGGCCCGAGCGACAAGGCGAAGCGAGGGACAGGGGAAAAGACCACGAACGCAGGGCCGACCGAGGAGGAAACTGGGCCTGCCAAGGGAGAGAGGGGAAAGAGAAGAGTTGGCGCCGTGGCACTGCCCAGATGCAGATGCCATGCCCCGCGAAAGCGGAGAAGGAGGCAAGGCGTATCCAGAGAAGCCGTTCTTGCCACAACCAGCGCTATCGCAACCGAGCGCCACCGTCCCCCTCGAGACGCGGAGGGCGAGGAGCGACCGTGCCGGAGGAGCCCGGCGAGGCAGCGTGCTCAGCAGCCAATGTCGGCCTTCGCTGCTGCCAGGACTGTGTGCAGAAGTCTGGGGGCGACCGGGCCCCTCCCTCGGGCATCATATCTTGCCTGGAGTCTGTGGGGTCTGTGACTCATGTGAAACGCCGGGACATCAATATGATGCAAGTGAGCACGTGGATACACCCCTCCTGGGTCAAAGCGGGGAGGGAAATGGGTCGGAGGAGGCGGAGCGTGAAGGAAAACTTGAGCTCCAAGCCGTTCCGCTCTGCTCCCCATCCTGGCGGGCCTCCTCGGCGACTGCGCCAAGAAAGCCCACGCTGACGAGCTGCCTTTGGCGCCGCCTAGGGAAGGAGGCGGACGGGGACACGAACAGCAACTACCAAGGTCAGACGGCGGCGGGTGAAAGAGGAAGGTCGGGACGAGAATGAACGGGCGGAGGACGAGGAGGAAAAGCAGGAGAAGGAGGACGACGATGAGGAGGACGGGGCGGCGGAGGACGATGACAAGGCCCGGCCGACGAGGCGCCCGCCAAGTGCGTGTCCATGCGCGACCTCGCGGCCACCTGCCGCCGGCAACGAAAAGGGCCGAGGCGCGCCACAACATGCTGTTCCCCCTCCCCTCCCTCCTCCTAGTCTCCCCCCTCCCTCCGCTCTAAGTGGTACTTACTACCCGCTTTACTTCAACCTTGGCCCCCCATCGACTTCGTCAGCCCACTCATATTATTCGAGTTGTGTGCTGGCCTCTGCTGACAGGCTCCCACCGTAATCAGCGTCGAAATCCCCAAATCCGCTACTCCACAGTGCGGTGACCAGCCGCAGTCGGCCATATCCTGCTCATCCTGCCTCGTCCTCGACCCCACCGATAGGAAAAACGTGACGACAGCAAAAGGAAGATAATCTCGCTACACTCAGGACTCGATGCTGACGTGGCTTGACGTGCAGGACTTGGCCTAGACCGTGCACCGAAGATTTTTCCTCTGATCGAATCACCCATTTTAGCCAACCTGTCGGCTTCGTGTTTGTCTTGTCTTTCGAATTCCAACATGCGCCCTTCGCTGCCACCAACCTGGGCGAAATGGACTCGGACCTTCTTACAAGAGACCCCCAGTGAGATCTCCCTCACCAGATTTTGTTAGCCACAGATGCGCACGCACATTGGCCGATCTGATCGCGGACAGATGGCCGCCCACTATGCTGACCCTGCGCCTGGAAGGCTTACGACTCGGAGTCCCGAGCAGCCACGGGCGAGTCTGCCAGCAAATGTGCGACGCGCCGGCGTCCACCCAGGATGGCCGGTTGTGCCTGGAAGTACTTTGACAGGTGGGGTGAATAATCTGGAAACAATTGAAACCGCCAAGGGAGGGAGGAAGGACGCACGAGAGCAGAGATGGACGCACGACGAGTGGGGAGGAGAGGCCGAGGAAAAGGAGAGGGAGGGACGAACGACGAGGGGGATGACGGAGGACACGCGAGCGAAGTTGCGTGCACTCTTGCCGGCGCAGTGTGTAAACGAAAGTGGGGCCCGGATGGCTCTTGTAGATACTGCCACGGCTAGTCTGGACACAGCTGAGACCGCCAAGGGGGGGAGGAAGGACGCGCGAGAGCGGAGAGGGACGCGCGACGAGCGGGAACGAGAGGCCGAGCAGGAGAGGGAAGGACGAACGACGAGAGGGACGACGGAGGACACGTGAGCGGAGTTGTCAGCAGTCTTGCCGGCGCAATGTGTAAGCGATAGTGGGCGCCAGATGGCTCCTGCAGATGGTGCAGTAGCAGGTCTAGGTACAACTGAGACCGGCCAAGGGGGGAGCAAGGGCGCGCGAGAGCAGAGAGGGAGGAAGGGGGAGGGGGAACAGGGAAGTCAAAACGCTGCGCGTCGACAGGGCCCAAGAGGAGACAGCAGCACGAGGAGGAGGAATGGGGGGGGAAGGGAGGACGGCAAGCAGGCAGGCAGGCAAGCAGCACGCAGACGGGGGCAGCACAGCCGCGGCGTGGGAGCCACCGGGCCCCGCTATAGTTGGGCGCGCGTGCCGGGGGCACGGGTGGGGGGCATGGCTCGCTGTGGTGCGGGGTGGCCGCGCGGTCGTAGGTGGCGTCCTCTTCGCGGTCCGGCAAACAGGCCTGGACCTGCCTGGCGGCCCGGCGCCCCGAGCTCCGTGCCGAGTGCGGCGGAGAGGGTCCGGTACCGCCACGCCTCCGCAATTGTCTGATCGCGAGGGTGCGGAGGATGGCTGTCGTTTGGGGGTGAGGCGGGCCGTAGCGCGTGAACACCGAGAGTGGCGTGCGCACGCATCTTCTTCTTCCCTGAGGTGCGTTCGCTCGCAACCACGGAGGCTCTTCCCCGAGTGTTGTACAAGAGTACTGGCTCCGAGGGGAAATTGGGAGACTCGGCCGAAGCAGGACAAGCAAGCTGGGCTCAACCGCGCTTCAACGAAGGGGGATGCGGAGGAGGAGGAGCAGGAGGTTCAAGGTTCAAGGCGCGGATCATTCAGACGAGGAGCACGTGCACGAGCAGGGAGGAGATGGGGAGGCGGACGAAGGGAGCAAGCCGACGATAGAGACGCAAGGACGCGCAAGGGCCGATCCCGCTCGGAAGCGCCCCGCTCAAACACCACAGCAGGGCCGAAAACCAGCAGCAAAACCAGAGGAAAACGGCACGAAGCTGCGAGCAGTCCTACGTGAACGGAAACAGCGTACCGCCTGGCGCCAGCTCTTGCGGGCGCAGCCGAGCACATCAAAGAAGCAACATTTGCTTCATCAACACCACCTGGAGGGGAGGGGGGAGGGCCAACCTGCTGATGCAGCTCAATTCCGCGAGAAGATAACCCGGACCCCCGACGCCATGGTTTTGCAAACCATCCCGTGGTGCTGGGACCTCGCTCGGTCGAAGTAGGGCAAGGCGGGCTCAACCGCGCTTCAACGAAGGGGGATGCGGAGGAGGAGGAGGAGGAGGAGGAGGAGGAGGAGGAGGAGGAGGAGCGGAAGGTTCAGGGTTCAAGGTTCAAGGTCTGGTTGCGACAGGAAGGCAGCAGAACGGGCGAGGGAAAGAGAGAAGGGGGCGGGTAAACGATCGAGGGAGCGATCGCAGAACCAAGGAAACCGAGCGCACGCTAATTACCGAGGGAGCGACCGAAGGGCCAAGGACGCCGAGCGCGAGCGGGAGGAGGAGGAGGAGGTAGAGCGCGAGCGGGAGGCAGAGCGCGAGAGGGAGGGGGAGGAAGCGGAGGGCACGCGGGAAAGCAGAAAGTACCAAAGCCGCTGCTCCCAGGACCTCCGCATGGGCGCATTCTGACCCAGCTGCCGAGGCGAATCCAGCCGTGGCGACGAGGGAAGGGTGGCGGAGGCGGGATGGCAACGGAGCAGCCCGCTCAACAAAAACAGCAACTAAGAACACATGGTTACGGAGCAGCGCGGCGGCGCGGCGGCTGCAGCCAGTGGGGAAGCGGGCGCACCTGCCGTCGCACACTCGCGTGCGCCACCGCCGCGCGCTTGAGCGTTGCCGTGAGCCGCCCTGCCCGCATCCGGAGGGTCTTGGCGTCTGCACCTCGGGGCGCTCTTGCAGTGGCGCTGCGAGCGGCGGCAGAGCCGCCCCAGAGCGCCCCTGTGGCGCCTCCCCGCGGCGGGCCCGGCTCTTCCGGCGCCCCCCGTGTGGCGCTTCGGGCTCGGCAGCCGCTACTTCTCCGCAGCCAGCGCGTATGGTCCCCCCTTCGCCGCCCACCCCATGGTGTCGTCCGCCCCGACCCTCGCCCCTCCCCCTCCTCGGCCCAGATCGTATAAATCTCTCGTCCCAGACCCTTGCCGGGGTCCGTCCGGGACCGAATTTCACCCCTGACTCATGGCTGACGGTCCGGGGCCCGAAACGTGCCCGAGCTGCCAAACAATGTAGAAACACTATAGCATCGAACTGCCTGCCAATCTGAAGATAGAGGCCTCCTGGATAGGGTCGAACAAGATGGGGTCGGAGGATCGCGCCGCATTGCCGATACGTCGGCGATGCATCGGCGATGGCATCGGCGATGTACCGGCGATGCACCGGCGATGCAACAGCGATGCATCGTCGACGTCGGCGACGCATCCGCGACGGCGACGTGCAGCAAATCGTGCTCCACATCCATCCGCATCGGCTATGCATCGGGGATGCGGAACGATCCTCCGACCCCATTTGCCCGGATAGCTGCATCGATACGCAACACGCAACACCCAGCGTATAGATACGGAGCTCCACACGTAGACCGAAAACGCAGGTCTGACGCGATACGTTAGCCAGAACGAAGGCCAATACGTTGAGCCAACACGAGACGCATCGACACGGACGTTTTGAGCACGACACGTGTTGCGAGTCAAGACGGGCAATGGCGCACTCTGGCGCGGGCACGGCACCGAGAGGGGCGCTCGGCACGCCGGCGGATGAAGGCCAACCGACATCCTGCATCCTTCTATCCCTTCTCGGTCTCCCCCCCTCTCATCTTCCTCCTCCTCCTCCTCCTCCTCCTCCTCCTCCTCCTCCTCCCCAAAATCGTGCTCCTCCTCCTCCTCCTCCTTCCTACTCCATTTCCCTGCCGCCGCCCCCTCCCCCTCCTCCTCCTGCGGAGCAATCGGCCCATTGCCGCAGTAGGCCCCGGACTGCGCAAGAAGAAGCCCCTCTGCGCGTCGTCGACTTTCTGGCTAGAGAGGGTGGGGTTGACCTTGACCTGGGCGGAAGAAGGACAGCACAATATTCCAGCAAGCTCTCTCCATCCCCCTCGTCATCCTCCCCTCCCTCCTCCTCCTCCTCCTCCTCCTCCTCCTCCTCCTCCTCCTCCTCCTCATCCTCCTCATCCTCCTGCTCCTGCTCCTCCTCATCATCCCCCCCTCCCCCATCCGTAGCCGTTTTGATCCTCATGCCTGGTGCCTGGCACCCTTAGCCGCTGGTTCTTAGCAAGGTGGCTCCGCAAGTTGGGGCTCAGTTGGATTGACTTGCTCATGGCATGACGGTGGCAGCTGGACTCGCCCCTGTTGTTTGGCGTCTGGGTGGAAGCAGCGAGGCCTCGCGGCGGCAGCGGCGCGCTCGGGCTGCTGATTCAGCGGGCAACCTCGTCAAGAGGCTCGTCAAGGAGCCGAGATGCAGATCAAGCAGATGCAGGGGCAGATCGAGGCGGTCTTTGGCGAGCCCGTGGTTGGGGATGCGGCTTGCGGCATGCGCGCCCGTCCTGGCCGCCCTTCTGGCCCAAGGCGGCGCAGCGGGGGCCTCGCCTGGGTGCTGGCGCAGCGCTGAGGCTGGCTGCGGGCCACGACGCCGCAGAGTCAGTCGCGGAGCAGCCCAAGACGACGCCCGCGGAGAAGCAGCTGAGCAGTGCAGCGCAGTCGGGCCCTGGCCCTGCCGTCCCGCGGTGCGGCATGCTGCGCACCAGCGGTGCCGCTGTCGCCACGAGCGGGGAGGCCGAGGTGGGGCGCGCGATGCCGCGGTCGTGCCAGGCGGCGGCGGAACCCGCTCCCGGCGGCGGCCCCTTCGGGGCCGACGCCGAGACCTTCGCGCTGCTCGTCGCGCTGCACGGGCAGGCGGCGGAGATCGCCCCACCGCAGCGCGGCGCCCCGTGCAGGAGCGGCGGCCCGCGCGCGGTGCTCGGTCGTGCGGCTGTGACACGTGTTTAACATGCTGGCCTTCGTCTTAAAGAAGGTGTCAAGAGATCACCCCAGTCTAAGGAGCCGCCCTCCATTCCTGTACTTGTGGCAAGCTTCAGGAACAGTGCGCGCGGCGCTTGGGCGATGGCCCCCTTCTGAAAGGGAGCCGCCCTCCATGATTATAACCGTTGCGAACGCATAAGACGGATGTGCGCGGCGAGAAGGCGAGAGCTACACGTTGAAAACAACCCGCTTCATCCTTGTTTAAGGCGTGTGTGAGCGGCGCTGATGAGAGAGAGCTCGGTTTTGAAAACCGCTCCTCCATCCTCGTAGATGTTGCCAGCTTCTGCGACAAACGTGCGCGGCGCTTAGGCGAGAGCTCTTTTTTCAAAATGACGCCCTCTCGGTAACTGCTGCAATATTTAAAACGAATGTGCTCGGGGCAGAGGCGAGAGAGCCTTTTGTTGAAAACTACCACCCCTCAACCCACATTGATGTTACAAATCAGGTCAGGCTCAACGTCATAATCGGCGACGAATTCCTAGGCGAAACTCCTGGCCAGCCCTGACGACACGCTCGGGGGTGCGACAGCGGGGACTTATCCACGAGGGACAAGGATGGAGAAGGAGGAGGAGGAACAAGCGAGGGGTAGGACGAACAGAGGAGGAGGAGAGGGACGGAGGAAGGATCAGGGTGAGGACGAGCAGGGGGGAGTGAGAAGGAGAAGGGCGCCCGCTCGGAGGTCGGCAGGGGACAACGTCGCGAGTCCGGAGGCCGGCACTCGCCAGCGCCGCCCCCCGCGCAGTGCGCTTCTGGGCGCGCTCGCGCCGGCGGCTCGGCTCACGCGTCCAGGGCGAGGATCAAGACCTGCACGCACTTGGCGAAGTCGTCGCGCTCCTTCTGGCACGCCCGCAGTGGGGAAGGAACGAATGGGCTCGATGGCCAACAGCAAATGTTGTCCAAAACTGGCAGCGGCCGCCACTGGGCAGGCGAGCTTGTGTCTCGAATGGGCGACGCCCGCGGCGACGCGGACAGCGAATCCTGTTCAAAAAGGGAGAAGAACTGCTGTTTGTCTTCGTCCCCATTGAGGAGGGGCCTCCTAGATAGGGTCCTAGTAGGTGCGGTCGGAGAATCTCGCCAAATCGCCGATCTATCGGCGATGCACTGGCGACGTCGGCTGTGCATCGGCGACGCCGGCGTGGTGCAAAACTGGGCCCCACATCGAGCCGCATCGCCGATGCGTCGCCGATGCATTTGCGAGGCGGGGCGATCCTCCGACTCCATCTACTCCGACCCCATCTAGGACTAGGATTCAGTCGGGCCTGTCCTCCTACAGGAGGGTTGTGGACGAACAATTAAACATCGTCCACAAGTGCCCACAAACGGTCCAAAAGTGCTGAACAAATCATCCCCAAACTTTTGTTTAACTATTTTTGAGCACCCCTCCTGTAGAGGGACAGGCCCGACTCAGGACCAGGAGACGTAGACCCTCGCTCTTTCCGAACCCATTCCGATCGTGCCGACCAACGGCCGGGGTGTCTCGTCTGGCCTCGGGTGGGCCCCGCTCGGCCACCCCAGGCGGCGGCGCCCGATCGGACGGGGGCGGGCTCTCCTCGGCCCCGGCCCGCCCTCGGCCCCACCCGCAACACGGCGGGTTGGACGATCTCAAGCCTGTTGTGCTCGATAGCTCGGGCATTGGCAGACTGGGCTCAGAGGGACCTGGTTTATTTTTTTTGGTTTCGGACAGAGAGGCGACCACGACATCGCTCGAGTGACCCGCGCACTCCGTGACAGGACGCGGCAGAGACGGACCAGTGACTTCATTTACAGCGGATTAATGGTTTAATGGTCAGGGGGCCACATGCGAACCCTGCCCCCACCCCCACCCTCCCCCTCAGAAATCGTGGGGGGTAGGGGGTAGGCTTCGCATGTGGCCCCCTAGCGGTGTTTGACGAGGGGCGCCTCTCCCGCCCCTGTCAATGAACTGGAACTGCCGTCACCCGAAAAGCACATGCTGCGGCAGACCTGGTATGGTGTTGTGGATGCCATGACAGTGGACGCTCTAACAATTCGATCGTTGAATTAAAGATGCGTTTAGCATGTGTAAAACATGTTCTAACCATGTTCCAAGCATGTTGTTCTTTGAAGCAACATTTTTGTTTAAAACGAAACTCATGTTTAAACATCTGGAAATGATTTGGCAGCACGCTTCCTCTCCATTAGTAGACTTTCACAAGTATCGTGTTTCTGGTTGATTTATGGGCTGCGAGGTCCAATCACGAACCGGCTCCCCTTGCTGGCAGTTCTGGCAGTATCCGAATCGACTCCTCTGCCAGCTCGCCGTGTACGTCAGGCCTTCGAACATCGCGGGCTTGCCATCATCAACTGAAATCGCAGGCTTGAGATCACCGTTTCCGCCACCATTTCGGTCGTACCGCTCCTTCACGCTCCGCATCCGGAAGGTGACGCACTCGTTGTTCCGCAGCACCAGCGTGTCGCAGAGGTCGTCGAGCTCCGCGGGGGCCGCGCTCTTCGCGATCCACTGGCCGGGCCAGACCCTCCGGACGTTCCTGAGCGGTATCTCGTGCAGGGCGCTCGAGGTCTCCAGCCTGAAGTAGAGCAGGTTCTCGCTCAGCGACAACCTTCAAGGGGCCCAGGGAGATCCGAAGAAAACGTCGCAGACTCCATGAACCTCGCTGGGCTTCCATGTTTCAAAATGGTCCGACCCACATCCACTTCGCTTAATTTCCGACATCATCCGAAGCATCAGCGTTTATGTATATCTGCGCCTATCTTCGGGGGCGGCCAAGAGGGGGGTGTCCAACGGGGGGGGGTGCAAAGCATGGCTGGCGACATGTGCGCGGCCCAGGGGGGGGCAGGGAACGTATTGAAATAGGAAGAGGCGCCATGACATCTGGAAAAATATCATGGCCACCACTATGAGATCCACCCCCCCCTAGTCATCCCCCCCCTCTTTGCCGCCCCCGATACCCATCGGTCGGAAGAAGTAGGCAGAAACCATGAAGTAGAAAAGGCGTTGGAAATAGACTGGGTTCCCGCACGCCTCCTGAAGAGGAGGGAAGAGGGAAGACCACTCGACTCCTGAAGTAGGAAGGCGCTGAAAGCAGATTGGAATCTGGGCATCCAGAAAGACCGACTCACCAATGGGAGGAGGAGGAGGAGGAGGAGGAGGAGGAGGAGGAGGAGGAGGAGGAGGAGGAGGATACCTGGACCGATGGGTACCTCTCCCCCCCGGAGCCTGCAGTCCTCCGCGAGCCCTCCGCCTGTGACCACTGGGAGGGTCTGCCCCTGGACCAGGCCCGCCACGAAGCCCTTCAGGAGCACCTCCAGCTCGCTGCGCTCCGCCCTCATGCTGGGCGCCCCGTCCTGGGGAGACCCTCCTCCTTCTGCCTCCTCCTCCTCCTCCTCCTGCCTCCTCCTCCTCCTCCTCCTGCCTCCTCCTCCTCCTGCCTCCTCCTCCTCCTCCTCCTGCCTCCTCCTCCTCCTCCTCCTCCGCCGCCACCGCCGCCGACTCCTCCTCCTCCTCCTCCTCCTCTCCTCCTCCTCCTCCTCCTCATCCTCCTCCTCCTCCTCCTCTCCTCCTCCTCCTCCTCCTCCTCCTGCCTCCTCCTCCTCCTCCTCCTCCTCCTCCTCCTCCTCCTCCTGCCTCCTCCTCCTCCTCCTCCTCCGCCGCCACCGCCGCCGACTCCTCCTCCTCCTCCTCCTCCTCCTCCTCCTCCTCCGCCTCCCGATAGCAGTGCCATGAGGTCCCTCTCGGAACTCTCCCAGGGGTGCGCTCTGACCAGAACTTCGAGGCGAAGCCAGCCGCGGTCACGAGGGCTCCCCAGCGGGGCCCCCAAAGGCGCGAGCACAAGAGAGAAGGATGACATGGACTTCATTCGGGGATGGGCAGACCCCCTTTAGGAAAACGCGGTTCAGTGAAAACGACTCGAGGCCCAAACCTGGCGGGCGCAAACCTGGAAAATAATGGCCACGGCGCCATCTCGAGAACCGAAAACGGACAATTCACTGATCGACGTGTCACTGTTGGGGGTTCTGCCCACCCCCGATTAATGAATTAAGAACACATTATACATTCATTCGAAAACAGTTTTGTACACGCCAGCCTTCACGCAGTTGCGGGGCCATGGTGGATCTTCTCGTCAGGGTCCCTGTCTCCCGATCCGCGGCCGATTTTCGGGCTCAGCTCGAGCCCGCCCTGGACGATAGCGCTACTGAACTGCACCCTGCGTTCGCGAAACGCGCGCGTCACTGCCTCGCTCCCGGAACGCAGCGCGGAGCCGGCCGCCAGCGCGCGCGCGCGCCTCACAGCTTCGAGGAGGGTGGAGGTAACCTACCCCAGACACGCCTCCCAGAGGCGGGGAGCCCCACACGGGGATGCCGACGGAGGCCCATCCTCCTCCTCCTCCTCCTCCTCCTCCTCCTCATCCTCCTCCTCCTCCTCCTCCTCCTCCTCCTCCTCCTCCTCCTCCTCCTCCCCCTCCTCCTCCTCCTCCTCCTCTGGCGTCCTGGCCGGCCGCCGCAGCCGCGGCCGGGGGCCGCTCGTCCCAGCACCGGGCGCGCGGCGGCGCCGCTGCCACGGCGAGCTCCTCCGCGGCGGCAGCGGCGCCGCCGCTGGCCGCGAGGAGCGCGGGGTCGGCGGGGGAGGTCTCCTCTCGGAGGCGGGAGCAGGCAGCGTCGGATCGGCAGCATCGGGTCGCGTCGGCTTGTGCATAGCGACTCGGGCCGCATCTGCACGGGGCCGGAAAATTGGATCGGGTCGCAGGTGCCGGGGTGCACAGCGGCGCCGTGCAGCATCGAGTCGCACCGGAGCGCCCGAAGAGCGAAATCGAATCGAATGAGGCTGGACAGAGCCAATATCTAATCAGATCGATCGGATCGAAATTGACCTTGGGAGGTGGGCTTGCCGAAGCAACGGCGGCCCTCCATGGCGCTTGTCATGCTTCCGAGGCCGCCCCGCGTCGGGACAACAGTTATGGCGGGACGTCTTTCGATTTTGTTGAGGCCTCCAGGGACACTCACCGTGCCTCGAGACCATCAAACAACGACTGGAGACCATCAAACAACGCCTTGTCCCGTGGAAGGGGCCCAGACTCCTGGGGCCCACGTCATGAGAAAACTATGAGCCGCGTTTCCACCACCACAACCATGGGTAGGAAAGAGAGGAGGAGGAGGAGGAGGAGGAGGAGGAGGAGGAGGAGAAGGAGGAGGACGAGAAGGAGGAGGAGGAGGAGGAGGAGGACCTCCCCATCCTCTCTCCTACCCTGTCCTATTAATGGTACACGTCGCTCATTTCTAATCGTGCTCGTTTCTAATTGTGCTCGTTTCCAATTGTTCCTGGCCCCCTAGTGGTCAGGAAGAGGCCCGGGATGGCAGACTTAGACATGAGAGGATCTTGGCCCCCAAAAAACCCAAGCATCTTAGAAGACTTCAGAAAAAAACAATGTGTCGTGGTGGTGGTGGAAGATCGGCGTCGGGTGTCTGATTGCGTGGGGCCTCCTGGAGACTCCCCGCCGCCTCGGCAGACGGCCCGCTCCGCGTCGGCAGCCGGCCCCGGCGGGGCGAGGCGGCCGACGCCGCGCGACTCTGAGCGTCGGGCGGGAGGGCCGCCGTTGCTCGGGCGCTGTCTACAGCCGGAGGAGGAGGAGGAGGAGGAGGAGGAGGAGGAGGAGGAGGAGGAGGAGGAGGAGGAGGAGGGACGGAGGAGGAGGGACGGAGGAGGAGGAGGAGGAGGAGGAGGAGGAGGAGAGAGCAAAATCAGAAGAACACAAAGGACGAGGAGTAGCAACCAGGAACAGGTCGGCGGAGCGGCCGCCAGCAGGCGGTGGCCGCCCTCGAGAAGGGCATGGCTGGCTCCCTGCTGCAGACTGATCTGGCGCAGCGCTTGAGGAGTGCCGCCGTTGCTCGGGCGAGTGACTCGAGACCCTTCCGAGGGCCACACTGCCACAGGAATGCAGGAGACACGGGTCGCGAGACACGGGACACAAAGACACCCTTGATCTGGCAGGGTCGACCCACTACTCCGGGCCGACGGTAAGGGGGGGCGATGAAGGGGCGGGGGAGACCAGGTTCGACCGCGGCCAGATGGGCTTTTTTGTCAGCCCGGCGGGCTTTAGTACGGCCAGGGGCTCTCTGGAGTAAATGATTCCTCGAGCACGTTGAAGCATGGTCTGAAGAGCCTGAAGAGCCCCTTGGGCCCCCCTGGAGAGCTCCTGGGCCCCCCGAAGAGCGTCTTGGGGCTCTGGGCCCCCTGAAAGCTCACTGAAGAGCCTCTTGGGCCCCCTGGAGAGCGTCTTGGGGCCTCTGAAAAGCCTCTCGGGGCCTCTAACGAGCCTATTGGGGCCTCTGTTGAACTTATTGGGGGCTTTGAAGAGCCTCTTGCGCTCCCTGAAAAGCGCCCCCTGAAGAGCCTCTTGAGGCCTCTGAAGAGCCCACCAGGGCCTCTGAAGAGCCTCCTGGGGCCTCTGCAGCGCCTCTGAAGAGCGCCGTGGGACCTCTGCAGAGCCTCTTGGGCGTCCCCCGAAGAGCTTCTGGGGGGGAGGGCCTCTGAAGAGCCTCTGGCCCCCCCCTGAACAGCGTCCTGCCCCCCCGAAGAGCCCTGGGCCATCCTGAAGGGCTTCTTGGGCACGCCTATAGAGCCTCTTGGGTCCCTCCGAAGAGCGTCCTGGGGCCTTTGGGAAGCCTCCTGAGGCCCCCTTCTCCCTCTCACCTCCGTCCTCCCCCTTCCACCTCCCTCCTCCATGTCCTCTCCCTCTTGTTGCTGCTGCTGCTGCTGCTCCTCCTCCTCTTCGTCGTTCTCCTCCCCCTCTTCCTCCTCCTCCTCCTCCTCCTCCTCCTCCTCCTCCTCCTCCTCCTTGAGCGGCCACGCGACTTGCAAACTGGCCGCCCCATCCGCAGAGGCGGGACATTCTGCTGACGGAGAAGGGGGACGAGGAGGATGAGGAGGATCAAGAAATGAGGACGAGCATGGTGTTGGTGCTAATGCCGATCATGCTGCTGATGATGATGTTGTTGCTGATGTTGCTGATGGTGCCGATGCTGATGCTGAGCCTGAATTTGGTTAGCACGACGACGAGGCCGATGACGACGACGATGGCGATGACGACGATGCTGCTGAGTGACGATGATGGTTATGATGGTGATGGTGATTATGATGCTGATGATGATGATGGTGGTGGTGGTAATGATGATGCTGATGATGCTGCTGGTGATGATGACGATGATGGTGGTGATGATGAGGATGAGGATGAGGATGAGGATGATGATGATGATGATGATGATGATGATAATGATGATGATGATGATGATGATGATGATGATGATGATGATGATGATGATGATGATGATGATGATGATGATGATGATGAAAGTGATGGTGGTGGTGGTGGTGGTCACCATGATGGTGGCGATGCTGCTGCTGATGACGACGACGATGATGATTATGACTATGTTCCCCACTCCGATGATGGCTATGGTGATGCCGATGACGATGACTATTTGATGGTGACGAGGAGGAGGAGGAGGAGGAGGAGGAGGAGGAGGAGGAGGAGGAGGAGGAGGAGGAGGGGGTTGGGGAGGAGGACTAAGCTGAGGGCGAGGACGAGGCCGACGACGATGAGGAGAAGGCAGTGGGAGGCAGGATGAGGAGAAGGAGGAGGAGGAGGAGCAGGAGGAGGCAGAAGGATGTAGTGGTGGATGAAGTGGAGCCGAGGAAGAGGGGGAGGCAGGAGGATCATGCAGCAGGAGGAGCCGACGTAAAGGTAATTAGGCAGCAGGAGGAGTTAGCAGGAATGGAGGGAGCAGGAGCATGCAGCGGGAGGAGCATAGCGCGAAGGACAGGAGGAACAATGAACAACGAGGAGGAGGAGGAGGAGGAGGAGCGGAAAAAAAGTAGGAGTGAGGAGCCAGGAGACGGAGTATGGGGGCCAGGGTGATGATGACAAGGAAGAGGGATGAAGGGAGATTACGCATGTGATGTTAACAAGTGCAAGACGAGGGGAGGACGATCATGACGGGGAGGATGAGGATGAATATGATGATGATCGTGCTGCTCAGGAGGACGGTTGTTTCGAGCCCTTTTCTCGAACCATGTTTCCAGCGGTGCACACGCCCTCGGATATGCAGCTGGGCTTCGCACGTTGCTTCAAAAACTGCATTGTTTGAATGATACATTGAAGATTGGCACAACTACTACTAGATTGCTTCCAGCGCGCCTCCTGATGGTCCTTTGTGCGGCCACCTTTTTCTGGGCGGGAACGCAAGCCCTTAAGGAGACCAACGTGTCCAGAGCTAAGAAAAGAAACCTTTACACATTACTGTTAAATGAAGGAGCAGCGCGGGCCGCAGTAAGG